TCTTTCCATGTTTACCATATACTTTAGGCAGGACACGAATTATACAGTGATCCGAACTAGACAATGGAGCACGTTTGCGAGTCACATAGGCACCCACATCATTAATGAAAACCAAGTCTAGATGAGCATTCAAACGAGTAGGAAAATCTACTACATTTAGGTGACCTAGTGATGTAAGGAAGCTACAGTCACATGAATTGAAATCACCACATACAATTGAAAGTGAATCACTGAAGGCAGTAACGGCGAATTCAGTAAATTTATCAGTGAAGACAGATAGCGCAGATGATGTGCAGTCTGGAGTCATGTAGATATTGGTAACATAAATATATTTGTATTTATTCAGGTGTTTTGGACGGCACCTTAAAGTTAGACAGTCAATAAAGTCGTTTGAAAACTTGAAACAGGCAAAAGTAGATCGACACCAGTTAACGTTTACAAAAGTAGCTACTCCGCCACCACAAGTCTTTTTATTGTTTGATCGATCCTGACGATAGATATTAAAATCACGTAATGACACTAAGCAATCATCCTGTAAGTCAGTTAACCAAGATTCTTGAATTGTGATGACACCACAATTAAGATACATGTTTTGACTTAGCAGAAATTGGAGATAGTCCGCCTTGTTAATTAGTGATCGACAGTTAGAGTTAAGTAGCTCGGGAATCGACATTTGATTGATGTTTATTCTCTTTAAAGCATATTGCCAACCACCACGATGTCTCTTATTGTGCTTGTTTGTAATTTTTGCAGCGAAAGGACGTAAGCTTTTAATAAACGCGCCTGTGTAGGTTATGCAATTAATAGACATAATGATAGGTTAAAACAAATTAAAAAAAACCCAGATAACTTGTTGAAATATTTAGATGGCAGAAACAGGTAGCCCAGGTATTCAAGCAGGCCGCAGACCGCCACCAATTAGAGAACATTGACGTATCGACCGGACCAATGACGCATAAACACGTACGAGCAATCTAAAGACCTTATCGGTCCTTCTCCCTGCCTAGCCCTGTCTATTGAGTCCGAAACACAAATCTTAGCCTCTGCGATATGAATCGTATATTTCAAACATACTTGGTTTATATGCAAATCAAACAAACCACGTCACACCATAAAATGGAAAATAAAATTCATAAGAGATCTAGCCAAACGTGACTGGGAATGTGGGAGACTGTAATTAATAGACTGAACGTAACTCAAGAACGGTCAATCGTATATTAGTTTACAAGTAAAAATAAAGCTTACTATAAGAGGAACATGAATATGAATAGTTTAGTTACTTAACAATTATGCAACAAAATTATATGTATAGTATCAGTCCATAAATTGATTTCTACAATACTATTCATTATTCTCCTCGGGACATACCACCTTACACTTTTTTTTGAAGATTCGGAGTTTATATCCAGACTTTTAATTTCCTGAATTTATTAGGTATTTGGATTTTTGGTTTGGCTGACTGCTATCCTTTTAGCATTAATTATTGTTATTTAACATAGTTTTTCTTCTATAGTACCAAAGTCTTTCGCTTCGATTTAGATTCAGATTGTACGTTTAGATCCGTCACTCTTTTTCTAGGCATACTGAGATTTTAGAGTTTTTTTACAGGCTACCCAGAAATATAGTGAGCAACTTTATCAGTTGGCTGGAATTCGCGATTAGATGCTTATAGGTTCGCAGCTCCATTAGCTTCTAACTAGCTGCAATTGCCCGAATAAAGGTACTGATCCAACCAACCAATTAAACAATAATTTTAAATCAAAGGTCATTTCTATCTCACTGTGTTGTTGATGTTACCATCAGATAGCTTAAATTCCATCAAGGACCTTTCTAAACAATCAAGATCCAGGTTTCAAGTCACAAACAGTTTGTTAGTTATACCTTCCACTGTTCAGAGTTTTGGATTTTTGTGCGGAAGGGAATAATGATGTGATAATTATTTCAAGGTCTCAACCATCGAAATGTTACAACCAAGTTTCATGGTCTATGTTAATACTCTGAAAATCATTGTTGTCCTGTTCCGTTGCAAATTTAACAATTTCCTATACATTTATCTACAAAATATGTTGTCTACTGAACCTTGAGTAAAAATACATCGATTACACGGTATCGCCTCAACTTTCTAAAAATATAAAGCAGGATTTGCATAACGCATTCAAGATCTTACGCTGCCAACATCTAGTTTAGATCATCAAATTGGTATAATCTCATACTAATATGGTTTTTGGGTGCTGTCAGGCGATTTATTTATCAACTGTACGCTCATCTTATGTGCATACCTAGTTCTTGGCTCATTCTTTCTCTCATGCTGTTCTCTCGCGGATCTCTTTATAAGGGTGACAATCTATAGGTCGCTTAGCCTCAGATGCGAAACGGCGATTACCCATCCAGTCAAACACGTACTGAGGCATAGTAGTGCGGTAAATCAAATAAGGTCAGGACTGAGAAACTGTTCTTAACTAATCAAAATACGTATAAAATGGGGCTGGATTTATAGCACATGCAAATTATAGTCTACCTCTTCCTCTTAGAAATAAAAACTAGGAGCTTGTGCAAATGACAGAATGTTTGTTATTTCCTGCATCGCTGTAACCTATTGTATAAACGGTTTTGTCGTTAGTTGTTTCAGTCATTTTATTGTTTTTGATAGCATCAAATGTTTCAGTATACAGCTTTTTCCAACTCATAATGTTGGTACTTGATTTTGTCGGTAGGGCTGTTCATTTCAAGCATTTGAAATTGAGGTGAGTTTGTCGCGTTACCGTGGCTTAAAATATAGACGGCTATTTTTTACATTTTTAGCTCGCTGTGATACTCTAACAGCGATAATCATAATTTCTCCCTTTCATTCTTGCCGTGACTGCTTTTGGTGCTACCTTTAAAATCAATCTTTCCTATACTAGCACCTGTAAATATACAAAGCGATTTCTCATCCTGCAAAGTGCTTGCAGAGGTAAGCAAATCTCCAAAATAAATAGCTGTACAAGTCTTCGATGTTGATGCTAACCTCATTAGTTTTACTGAACCCAGACTAGCTGAAGGCTCTCAGTCACTCATCAGCATCAGATCGTAAGTGGTTTCGTCTAGCTACTCCTCCCTTTCAATTACTAGTTAGTGTAGATCAAACGTTTCTGAACACATAGACGACCTTCAAAATATGGCTTCTTACTCAACCATCCCTGACGTCTGATTTGACTGGGTTGGCATCATTGGATTATAAAGGTGTTACGGATGTAGTCTTTCTCAAACCCTGAATATCTGTGGCATCTTCACTCTTAACACACAGGGTACTTTCAGGCTAGAGGAAAAGCCATAAAAGTTACAGTTAACATTCGATATCTTTAAAAACACTTCGGACTTTCAGGGTGCTTTGTGACTGACAAGCTTCATTGAGATGATCGTGGACTATTGGCTGACAAAAATTTTCTGTGACCTGTTTATTTGCCGCCAAAATTCCATTGTCTTTTCAGTTTTCATCGAGCCTTCTAACTGAAAATTCCAGTAGGATTACGAGTAAAATCAATCCTGAAAATCTTCCTTAGTATTCCCCCAATAAGATAACAAAATATGGTTGATAAGTAATGACATGAGTCTGAAATCAGGATTTGACGGATAAGTCTCCAAAGTCATGCTTGCAACTGTACTTAACCAAAGATATATACGCACCTGTAGGACTATGGTCTAATTTGATATTGATGTATTAATCTTTGCTACCATAATAATAGACCTAAATCTAAAACTTTAGATATATCATGATGTGACTGTCTAATGTATAAGGTTTTACATGGAATCCACATTATCGTCTACACTAACTCGTCCTACCATAGCGATATGACGTCTAGCACTTCCGAAGAACACATTTGAGCTTAGAAGAGAGTAATATAGTTGACACAGTAAGCAAGAATGACCGAGCCTAAATGACTGAGACATGCCATTTCGATTAATTTTTGCCGCGTTCATTGTTGTTGACCCTCCCTTAGTGTTACATATTGAGTGTAAATCTCCTCAGTAGTTATACGCTTAACCTCAAAGATCATGTGGTTAGGAACTATTATCGCTTTAGACATATCAAAATGAATACCACAATGTCAGCCGGTCTTAGTGGAGATACAGGAGGTACTGAGACCTTATACATCATGCTTTTCTAGCGCTCTTGTGCTGGACACCACATCTGAAAATCCAGGTACTTTGACTGTTATTTCAGTTTTTCTTCTGTAATGGTAACAGTATCTATGCAACTTGTCCAATTTTTGAAAAGGTTAATCATCCTAATCTAATTAATCATTAAGTGACCTTGCGTATGTATGTCTGTTATCCACCCAAGTTAGTTGATCATTGTTCACCCAGAATATTTTCATTTATGCGTATATTCGTAAATCTGTATTCACGTTTACCCGTTATTTATACTCCTCTATGCCTATATTTAAAGATGACTGAAGCTTTGAAATTTAAAATGAATTCTTACTACATCTAATATCTAAGCCTATTCAACTTCCATAATCGAAACTCTCTTTTAGTCATGACTTGATCAAGGTCGTCACCAATTTGTTATGACTTTACAAAATAATCAAAAGACGTATCCTAATTCGTTATTGGTTTTATGTCCGGCTTCTACCACGTAAATTATCCACCAATGGAATTACGACTTTCCCGACCTTAACACAGTGACAATCAATGACGTTCGATCAGTATGAGTAAACTAGCGTCCTTATTGGTCCTTTATCCGCTTAGCTCTTCCACTTGAGTCCAGAACATCAGTTACAGCTTCTGTTACGCGAATCGTTTATTTCAAACATATTCTGTTTATATATCGAACAGACAGAGCACATCACACCACAAAATAGAAAATAATATTTGTACATGATCAGGCCAAACGTGTCTGTGAACATGGGAGATAGTGATCAATAAACTGAGTATAATTTAGGAACAGTAAATAGTATAATAATAATCAATGGGTCAAAATGAAGCTTATAATAAGATGAATATAGATATACATAATCTAGTTACTGAATAATTATATAATAAGTATATATATAGAATAATCGCCCATTAATAGGTCCTGGGAGTTACCCGTACTTATGTCTGTGCTAGGATATAACACTTTCGACTTAAAGGTGTCACCAATATTCAGAGCCTGACAACACTGTTGTCCGTAACACCGATGTAATCGAGGATGTAAAAACCAGCCAATTTAGAAGTCAGGAATGGATTGATTCGAAAATATATTTGGATGATAGCGTATATGTTGAAAAGTATATGGCCTAAACTGGCTAGTTGTTGAAAGGGATGTGTAGTACAGCGTATCTCACACTGTATTTTAAGAGATTCATTATCTAACAATATTTTCCTAATCTTCTACACAACATATCGGTTATAATCCTCGAAATCATGTGGAACTGTTTGACTTATGAAGCAATTGTCACTTCCTAACTACATTTCTAATACTTAAACAGTGTCTTCGTTACTGCGTAATATCCTCATAATTGTCTAAGATTTTCTCGCACAATACCACTAGTGTTTGTTGATACTAAATTTGATTTAACTTACTAACCATATATATGATGCTTGATTTATCCAAATTTTGAGGAAGAAATGTTCTCTTGCTTACCGGAAACAAATGTTATGTCAGATCTCCGTGCGCACGTCTTTTAGAACTTCGCATATCTTGTGTGGGATGAACTATACTTTGGAGATTTAACAAATATCGCATTGCCTACAAGTAAATTTGATCACTACTATTATAAATGTTGATGCCGTATGCTGAGAAGCCCCCGACTTAGATTAGGATGATTGTTTCATTTTGACTGCTTAGACCGAGATTCTCCCAAGTTTAGTAAAACTTTGCGAAATATGGGACCACACTCGGTGATTCCAAGATGATTTGCCTGTTTGTCTAGCTTACCAATTTATTACATCTACAATGCAAATGAGCAACTCCTGGACTACATAAAAGATACAAACACCCAAAGTATTTAACGGTAAGTCGAGGATATAAGAACTCGTAGCAGAAAAGTTAATTGTATGAGACAGTAATCGAGTGGGAGTTTACTCGAAACTTCACAATAAATGTAGACCAGTGATTTATAGTCATATTCTTTTTCTTAAACGAAGTATGGTACCGAATTAACAAGAAGAAACTGTAACCTGCCACAGAAACCTAATAACAACCTTCGTTTAAGTACTTTTTCCCACGAATTACATAAACTTGACATTTTATTAAAACAGTATACAGAAAGAAATATTTATACAAAAATAAAGTAATGAACCAGTTATTGGAACGAGACATTGAATAAAGTAAAAAAAATCTAGTCTAGATCAATAATAAGATCTGATTCGTCTTCATGATTTGGTGACGCTACTTCATGTAAAACTGATGGTGATTTGTCAGGACTGGCTGGAGTTTCTTCCAAAAAAGTAGGAGTTTCATGATTGTCATGTGTTATAGTAAAGGTAGAAGCATTATTAAAAACAGTATCAGCATTTTCTGAACAGGGTATATCGATAGAGACATTAGTATCAAATTTATTATTTACAGGAGAGTCTGGAAATGATTTAGTGGTATCGGCTTTGCTCAACGGAGGGATAGTACTAACTGCAGCTTTCAAGGCATTCTTTAATATATGATTTGTAGCTGAAACAAATATGAATAAATTTAACTAGAAATAATTATTCAGTTTATTTCTAGCAATAATCTGAAAAGTGCTTTCCTTAGAAAAATAAAATTACATATCACATGTGAGGTTAAATGTTTTCACTACATATGTAGATAATAGAAAGCATGCATGAAAAAGACTTTCAGATCAACCTCCTTAGAAAGATGACACAACCTTTATAAACTTAGTATTATTTACTTAGAAAAAAACAGAATTATCTACTGTTTAACATCTATAGGACAAAAAAGACAGAATTCCAGGGTAACCAAAAAGTCATAATCATACGATAACAGTTTAATCTCTACTAAAATAAGAAATTCTTATTTTAAGGTTAAAGAGTTATTCGATTCAATCAAACTGGTCGATGAGAAAAATTACTTCCTAATTGCTTTTGACTACATTTTTTAGTGATATTTGGTGTCTGGATGGTGCTATTTTGAGAACTTATTGGAATATTGGGATTAAATTTGAGTACAAATCTTAAACACTGTTTACCATTTACCAGTTGATTTTCGAATTGGCCATCAGTTATTAGCATAATGAATCTGCGACCTTTATAAAACTGATATGATCCGTTGATTTCTAACAGGTAACTACTACTCACTGACCAATAAGATAAAATATCTCAGATCATTTGCGGCTATGATAGCTCGATATTTAGATTTCTGGATTTGACACTGGGTAAAGTGGATTAAAATTATACAGACAGTATTGGTTCCCTTAAAAGTGATGCCGTGTCCTGTCGACAGTTATGAAAGTGTAAGATTTCCCATGAATTGCCTCCAAACACATAAAAAATAACAGATGTTAGAATGAATCTATTAGGAGTAGAGACCCTACTGCACAATGATAGATATGGTCAGACCACAATTTATAGAAAAATCGATGAAATTAAAGGCAATAAGCCTTGGATTTTGGCGCAAAATTCATTTATCCATACGGTTAAATAAAAGTTTGGCATTAAAGCTGACGCCAGTTCGTCATGAAAACCTTAACTCTAATTCTTAACCACAACCTCTGACTTTTAGTCCTTATCTTGATTTCTCACACTAATTTATAACCCTCTTTTAACGTTAGTAGGAAGGTGAATTTTGTAAAGGTTATTTTGGCGTAGCTCAAAAACAATCCATAAATTATAACCTTTATATATGCAATCATCTTAATAGGGACTAAACAAATATAGAATATTCCATAATAACCGTTGATTGACCAGTGAAAACTTCATAGATGAAAAATCACACCAACTATACGTCCAAATGATTAAAAAAAAACAACGTACACAATTGTGGTTTTCCATTATTAATTGTTCCAGAACAAGAAGCTTTTCGAGCTGCAAGTCGTTCTAATGCTAGACGTTTATTTCTTTCAGCTCTTGACTCAAAGTCAAATGAAGTAGATGGTTGCACTTGTGGTGATTGTATGTTGAAGCTGCCATTTAAATCTTCAGTTTCATTTTTATGATTCCATTCTTTTCTGTAAATATCATTTAATGTAGATGGAGATTTTGCAGAATTGATTGTATCCTACAAGGAAGTGAAAATGATTAAAATTAAGAAAACAAGTTTTAAACAAAACCAATGAAGGAGAAAACACATAAAAAGTAATATACATATACACATATAAACTTTTAAGAAATTCTGTGTAATATATTGTTTTGAACAAGAATAGAGAAAAATATTTGTACATATCAAGGAGTGAACCTATTGTTCTAAAGTTAGTGACAACTTCAACGAGTCAGAAATTAACAAATAATATGAATTCAGAAAATTACGAGTGTTTTCCCTATTTTGTTGTCACTGAAAATAAAACATAAATCCAATACAAAATATTGAATTTACTCACGAAAATGTAGTATCAACTGAAAGACTTGTACAGATAAAAACAGGGAATTTGCTGAATCTTATAATTTACATCATCATGAAATGACTATAGTTAGACAGTCACTGAAACCTAAAAAAGCACTAGACAGCTGCTTTGTCTCAGTATGAGATCCCTCAATAGTGTGTATCCACTACCCTGACCCAGATCGAATCCAGGGTCTAGATATCTTACAGCTAACACATGACCGTTAGTACAATGAGTTGGCATCTAATGATCTACATTTCTTACTTCAATCAACTCATGATATTGTGCAACCATCTTCCAATGACATTGAAAGATAATTAACTGCCTATCGCTCAACATGATTGGACTCCGCTAGTCATTGTCTCATACTCAAACTCCAGGAACTACCTACCGAAATTAGTCATTGGTGAGCACATGATCGTTATTATTTTATAATTTATATTATGAACCGAAATTAGTTAAAAAGTCATTGAAAACCAGGAAACAATAAACATCTATTTCATTCAAGGATGGGACTATTGAAGAGTCCCATAATACTATGAAACAGCAACCCAGTGCTCCCCAATTTTCAGTGGTCGTCTAACCAAGGTCATATCGTGTGGTAAATTGTAGAAAGATAGCAATATTTAGGACTGATAATTTACTCCCATTATGACGAAGAAAGCTATCAGCAGTGATTGTACATTCTTCTATATTCACTGTTAATAATAAAATTAGCATATCAGCAGGTAAGGATACAAGCAAATAGACACATTAAAATGAACTCGAAATAAATATGTGTTAATTTAAAGCACGGTGTTGAGAAGTGTGTTGGAACTGAATGCAAGAGTCAGAATAGTGATAATAACACAGCGGCAGGTGGACTAACCAGTGAGAATCAATTGAAAAAGAAATGAAAGTCACAAATGTTTCGACCTGTCTGATCGGATTGAACAGACCATATACTACGTCAAGTTTGCACAGTAAGAAATATGTATTGTGAGTGAATTACTCACTTATTGAAGATCATCACCCACATATTTCTATACGAGTCAGTCCGACAATCTATCCCTCTCCACTCACAGATATAGGTAAATACATAATTGACATCACGAACCGGTTCAAATTGGACAACCACTGAGCATCGGACGACCATTTCGTTTTTGTATAAGACTCCTTAGTTTCGAGGGTGAGCCTCTAACCTCTAATAGACCACTGAGTCGAGATTCAACGGTGTATAAAAGTCTAACTCCAATCAATCAACGATATATATATATATATATATATATTAACGCAAAAGTTGTAATCATAGTCATTCGGATCACTTCATAGTCTTGATCCCCTTCCGTGGCACTGATGGTTGCTAAGTTGAATGAACGTGTAACAGTGACCGAATGAGACCGTAAAACACAGCAATAGTACCGGGTATACACAATTAACGATTTCGGTTCTCTGATTAATCTAACTAAAGAGGTCTAGAACTCAAATCAATACAAACTGGACTAATAGCCAACTAATTTATGAACTTATTTTGGCTGGCCTTTTAATCAACAAAATTCACTTCTCAGGAATCAAGTCAACATGCAACTTACAAACTGATCTACCACTGGTATAAAATACTACTCTATAGCTAAATTGATGGTTCAACAATAAATATTTTATGACTAGAATACAAATAAATAATGATGTGTATAAAAATAGGGGAACACTGATTTAGAAGTTTCCCAGTTAAGCCATTGATAGCATAGAAAGAAAAGTAATCGAAGAGATAGTAGTCATAACAAATTGAAATTAGTTTGCAAGATAAGTAATAACTAGAAAGAAAAACCTTAGTAGTCATTTTTTTAACATATTAAATTTTGAACTGATAAATAATATGGATCTAACTACTCATCCTTTGTTAACTGAATATAAGATCTTTTCGTATGGGCTTTTCAGCAACATTGGGAAATATCATTCTTGATTTAAGTGATTAGACAAGAAGCGGCCAAATTAGAGACGAATATTTTCACTCACTACTGGCCAACCAAACAGAAAGAAATATTTGATGACTTTTAATTTTATTCTTATGGTGATTAGGAATGTACATAGTTGTATTTTTCAAAAATATTAATATTCCTCAGTCATAGGCCATATTCTTTCTTCTATGATATTGAGATATATGACTCGTTGTATCACAGAACGTTAGCAAAAACTAACTGAGATAATCTTGCAAGCTATAGCAAAGAAGTATCCACTCACATACATGGCTCAGTCCAACAGTCATTGGCTTCAAAGACTGATGCCAAATATGGGTTTGTTAGACCTTAACTCTTTTCTAACTCACTCTCCTACACTAGCAAAGATTGAACAATAAGATAGACGATTGTTGGATATATGTAATACATGTCCCAACTACATCAGTCAATGAAGATTCACTACATCATTGGATAATTTGCTGAAATCGTGAAATAGGTTACACGAATAGAAATCCATTTACCTCAGGAACAGATTCTAAAGCCCGTTTCCACACTACTTCCGGATCTTCTTGTTCCGATGTGCTTTCATTATCAGATGGTACTGTTTGTTCTTCACTTGTATATGGTGGCCAAATACCGTTACGAAGTCGATGTAAAGCAACACGTATTTCACGTTTACTTCCAACATTTTCCAAACGATCTATAACTTCAGAAAAACTCATCCTAGGTACCAAACGATGACTCCATGCTTCATAAACAAATAATAGTTTATTCAAATCTTGAAACTTAAAAATAAATACATAAAAACAATTAGTAAATATTTGAAAAAGTTATAAAAATGAAGATAGTTACAATAACAAAGACAGAATTATAAAAACAATCGTTTAAATAATAAGTGACATTGGATAAATGTATCAATTCTCTTTAAAAGTTTTCTTATCATGATGGATTGTAGAGATCTTTTGAAAATTGAACTAGGAATTGTTAAACTTTTTGATCATCCCATATTTTCACATACAGTGTGATAGGTTTCATTAAAATAGTTTTAATCCTTCTCAAAGCTTATTCCATTCACGTAATTTGATGTGTAAAGTACAAATTTATGTAGTCAGTCTCAAGTTTTATCACTGATTTTATGAGAACAACTATAACACTATAACACTGATATTCCCTAATTGAAATAGATGGATTAAGTCCTAAATCTAACATTGACTCACAATTTGTTGTAACCACTAAGCTACTAAACCCAACTTATAGGATTGTGAATTACACACGTATTTAATGTACAATATATTTCGCTTATGGAACATTGTTTCACAGTTCCTAATAGTTTAACAATTTTTTATTAATATTGTGAAATAAGACATGACAAAATAACTCTTTTTAATAGTTGAATTCATGAGTAGACCACCACTGAAAACCTGGAAGCACTGGAAGGCCTTACCACGCTAGGATGAAACGGCCGTCTAGTGCTTCCAGGTTTTTGATGGTGTTCTAGCTTAGATCAACCCATGAATTCAACTGTTAAAATTGCTACAATCTCCACAAGCCCCCATTCTAATAACGATTTCTTTTAACCTATATTTTTTCATTAAAAAGTATTATATTGCTAAGCAACCAAATTCAAAGTGACTATTACATAAATCCAATTAACGATAAACAGAATTTGTAACTAAGGTGATTGTAAAGGCAAAAACAACAGTTGCATCAAATTGTCGCACAAAAGCTGTTTTTCTCAAAGCACACTTTATATTTGAACCAACAACTCTACTGGATGTCCGAACTACGACATTAAGGTCTTACAACAAGAGCCTAACCATTCAATGATTGGGTCTGGAATGTTGCTACAATGAAAAACATATTATCCAGTACTTTTTGGTGTTCAATAGTACTTTAACTGAGTTCAATAGGTGATAAATACTACTAAAAATTAAACCAAATACCGTGCATATATTTAAAGAAGGTTAAATAAATAAATAGTATTTTTTATTTGAAGTAAATATTCCTAAATCAATTGAAGTTGATATTTTAGCTTCTAAATATAACTTAGTTCCGTATTCTTTTTGATGCAATTCAATCTGTTGCAGTGTGGTACAAAGGCATTTTCTTGGTAAAAGCCTCTTTGAGATCCTCAGTTTGAATAGTATATTATACTATTTTGTTTTGTTAATTCATTTCATCTTTTCCAATGATAGTTTTTATGTTTGGTCTTTCTTATCATAATTGTTATTGATATTACCGTCATTTCGACTCTTTGAAATTCTTATATCGTCCATTTTATTTAGTCGTGTAACGTGGTGTGACAAATTGGATCGAGGTATATTTAATCCTGTTTCTACGTCGATTACCATAAAATTCATTTTATATTGACATTTCGGACATTTCCAGGTTAAAAATGTCTAACAAGTTTTAACTTATTAAGTTTAATGAGTGAAAATATTTCTTCTTCAAACACTGATTTGTATCTACATGCATACAAAATTTTATGGGTCATATTTATCACACAATTATGTAACCTGACGTCCAACTGGAAACCAGGAAGCACTGGACAGCTGTTTTGTCTTAGTATGGGACTCCTCAACAGTGTGAATCCACTATGGCATCAGAGACTGAACTTAAAGACTAAAGCATTCGTTGGAAACTCTTGATTACTACTAAACAGATAAATGGAAGTGAAGTATTGTACTCGAAAGAAACAACTCTCTAGCGCTCTCTGATTTTCAATAGAATGGCAACATACATCAATTTTCGATGAATACCACCAACGGAGTAATTCAATTTGCACAAAATTCATTTACTATATTTATGAACAGATAGATATCTTCCATACACCTACCTCATAGCCTTTACCTCGAAATTTAACTTTTTTGAAATCTTCCAACAGAGCTGGCAAACCTTTGTTACTCAATAATCTAATAAAATGAAAGTAAGCGAGAGAATAACAATAAACAGAACGTTTGAAAAATTTAAGTAATCTAGAAAAATATCCAGCTCTAAAACGGAATAGAGGTTTAACAATGTAGTTAAGGACATTATTAATGAGATTGAACCCATGTATATCAGTTGGTCAGCTACAACGTAGGACCAGGCACATTTATGCATCGTTCCAAGTTGCCATACCTCGTTAGCACAACAGGATCAGCGCCGAATTCATAGAAGTAGTTAATTTAGTGGTGGTAATATATAAAAAAGAATGTATATAAGGATATAGTATAGGAAGGAAGAAAGTTATGAAGCAATTTTAATCTCACAGTTTAAGGGAAGACAAAGAGTGTATACACCTACGCCATTGTGATCAATTCTGAGCCACGTCACAGGGAGCCTCCAACCATTGGTTACGAGTAGTCTGCATCTACCAACATGGCTCAAACTAGAAGTTAGTGACTTCAGGGACTGATGCCATGTTTTGGTTTGGCCGCCCCTAACTCTCTTCCAATCATCCCCAATACTAGTCAGCATAGAGCGTCGTGGTAATCGGTGTTCAGGCATACGTAACACGTGGCCCAACCATCTCAGTCAATGAACCCATGTATATATAATAAAATCGTTAATGTTGGTAATGACTAATATAAAATGTTGACTTGACTGAGTTTATATGTTAAATGAAATTGTGAGATTAATGATCAGAATAAATGTGGTCAATATGAAATGAAAGAAATAATAATGTAATTTATAGTTTAAACTTATCTTATTCACGGATATTATTATTACGCTTGCAAGACTTAAGAAATTTATTCAGCGTGCATCCCTATTTACCCATTAGTACCTGATTCATATAATTCTACATATTACGTGATTTCTAAATTGTTATTACATTATTATCTCTCTCTCTCTTTCGTGCCACATTAACTATATTTATTCCGATCATTAATCTCACAATTATATTTAACTTATTAACTTATTCAAGTTAAAACTTCATATTAGTCATTACAACATTAACCGTTTGATTTTATTTAACAGTCCTAAATTTACATGCTATAGTTTTTAAACGATGTATTTTACCATAGACCTGGACACGTTTGCCTTCCCCCCTATGGGAGTTGGAAAACCCTGATTCCAAACAAATGGTGCACATGGGCTCTAGTATCCTGAGGGAATAAATAGCGTATGAACCAATTGTTGGTCACTGGCTACCCTGGGACTGCATCTTCTCGCGATGCTCCACTGCCTTGTGGATTAGACCTTTAGGTCAAAGGCTGCGGGTGTGGTCCCCTAAAAAATCACCTGCTTCAGTTTGGGTACCTCGGCAGTATCACAGTCCTCACACAAATCAAATGAGATTTGTGAGGTGCACATATATCTGGTTTCCCTTTGTACCAATATTCATGTGTTTAAATAAAAAAAAATTGGATTATTAATCTGGATATATAATTGTAGAAACTGATGGTGATTTATTGAAAAGAACATTCTTCGTTCATATATCTGTGTTTTAATATAATGGGAACTTTTCAGTGATTAAAATTTTTGTGTTATCCCACAGTTCAATCTGCAGCGAGATATATGACGATTAAACTACGATCTTTATAAAAAGTTAGTAAATCGAGAATAGCTGAACTAGACAGATGATAGTCGTGTGTTTCAAATAACTTTAAGTTTGTAAGTTGAAACTAGTGTTGGGTTATTGGATATCGGTTTGCGTTACTGACTGTCTTTTTATTAGTGTTAAATAGTTTTATATAATATAACGATGGACGAAGTTATATGTAAATGGAGAATTAGGCTTACGCCAAAAATACTAAAGGATATATATAGGTATGTTCGAGTGTAAGAAATAATGGGAATTTGATTCATTTTTCAAAACTGTTCTACAGTTTGCTTGATCATGTGAACATCTACCAAGCCTTGAATAATTTGGTTATTCATACTACGGATTTTCGGAATAGATTTGCCAGGCAGCCAAACGTTTTCATTAACGGTACTTCTCTCTCTCTCCTCGAGAAACTCAGCTGCACAATAGACCATAGACTTAATGAAGAACAAAAAGAGAAAAATCTTCCCATACTTATCTTTCTAATTTGTATTGGATACTGATTTTCTAGTTTCATTATCAAACTCAAAGGTACATTATTACTAATTACACCGATATTATGAATCTTAGAAACAGTTGGCATAGGTACAACTTACATTACGACAAACAATTCTCACAAATTTTTTGAGATGCACTGGTTAGAGTTTTATTCAAGGTGTCTCTACTGTTTTATTAATGGACTAGGTTTATTGATATGAGTGATGCTATTATGCAGTAAGAATATTATAGCTAGTTTATAACTTTAAGAATGTACATGAATTTAATTAAAGGTGGGCAATGGACATCAGTGGAATCCAGAAAGAGCGTCTCGTCATATTTGGGACTTGTCCGCTGGATGTATCTGCATGACAGTGCTGATATTCAGTCATAAACGCGAGCCTAGTAACCATTAGTTTCAGACACACAAAGTGTTCTCTAGACTCAGTACGTCAGTCGATAGCATGTTGGGCGCTGGAAGGAAGATGAATTGAGTTCGAGCCCTGAAGGGGACATTAACTCTGAGATGCATGAGAATCCAGTTGACGAGTCCCAAACATGATGAAAAGCGCATTTTCAATTCCATTGTTATCCGCTATCCTCCTTTAGTTAAAAGTACTTGTTAATTAATGGCCATAACGAGATAATCTGTAAAGAATTTCCATACACTAATCAAAATCCAGTTCTTAACAACAGCAACAGGAATCAGCAAAAACCTACATATGTATGATTTTATATCATTTCCTATTGAATAAACACAAAATCTGATACAACTGAGCATCAGAAAAGTATGTGCCACACTAATTAGGAGATAGCGTTGTGAAGAAACGAAGAATAGTAGAGTACAATTTTAAAAAAATAAAGCAAACGGGTAAGAACAATGTACAGCACGCGATAAAGTACAACCAAAAAGACTTTCAGTTAAAGAAGTTCCTTTGACTTTCATGAAAACAGTAAAACAATGCTACAGAAGATTCGCCGTTGTCTTCTATTTTGAACCATGCCTGATAACGTCTCAAATTAACCATTTGCATCATATCTAGAATACCGATAGATCCCAGTCCAATACAGCAATCTTGCAAATATAAATGATAGTTGCATCCTTTAGTGAATTTCTTACCAGACTATACTGCGTACTTTGTGTGTTCAAGTAACGGTATGTGATCAAATTAGTCGGAGGATATTCAAAGTGAACTATGTTAGATACTTTCGAAAAATGTAATTGATAACAACACGGACTATTTACCATGAATTGACAACAGATTATAAAGGTCAGTCAGATTAAGATTACCACATTGCAGGGTTTCATTTTACGGTGTCATAAGCACCCACTAATTGGATAATCATTTACTAGTTACAGATGCGAGTACTTGCCTTCAAGTCACATTAAGTGTAAAGGCTAGTGGTTATATCGCTGAGAATATAATTTGTGGATGACCTTTGAGCAATACTTATGTGAACTTGGGAATGTTCACTTACTAACTAGGAATAGATGATGGTTATAAGCCTGTGGGAAGAATAAAGGTTGTGGTTTACAGTCGATGGTTAGGGATAGGGATTAGATTTAGGGTTTTCATCACGAACTGACATAGGCTGAAATGCAAAGACGCTATTTAGCCAAATGGATATAGAATTTCGCGTCGAAACCCAAGATATTTTATCGTAAATCTGATTGGTTCGTCCATAAACTACAGTCTCGTTCCTGAACCACTGAGACACTATCCATAAGTAATCATTATCGTAAATATACAACGTATATTCATTAAAAAATGAATCACTGGAAAACAGAATATACATATCACCTCAAATTCCTTAACCATAGACGTGATATGGACAAACTGACAAAAAATATTTTTAAATAGTGTAATAAGAAGACGAAGATCATCAGAACTATTACACTATCGAAATCTATCAAATGGATTAATTGCTTTAAATACTTTTCAGTTAAACATGATTTACAATAGGTTTTTATTTTAAATATCTTGATAAAACGGTCATCAATACATAAATTATGTTGAAAACAACTGATGAGTCTTGTCGATTGAACGCTATTTTCGTTTCATAAGCTATTCTCGTAACCCACAGGTTAGAACTACTCAGCGACTTGAACACCAGAGAGAAGACACGAGTATGGGAGAAACACTTTACTGCAAGGTTCAATCTTGTACAGAAAATCATAGGTATTTATAGATGTTAGCGTATGTTAAATCAACATCCTATTTCAGCCAATCCATTAACGACATATTATGCTGCCGACCAATAGTAGCACGCCACGTTGGAACTCTAGAATGTTCCATCGTACTACGATTGGCTGGGGCTCTTCGGCTCCTTTTTGGGCCTCTGGAGGCTTCGTCGAAGTTCTCCGGAAGCCGACTCAACAACAATCAAATTAGATAGATTTGGTGTTATGTAAACCAAACAACCAAGATTTAAGTGGCTTGCGAATAATTTGTTAGTAGTAAGATAGATGTGGATAAATTAACGAAGTTTCTCAGAACAGTACGGAATAAATAATACAGGAATATCAACAAAATAGTGACTAAGTTTTTAAATAGATACATATGAGGTACAAAATGTAATGATTACCTTTGAGGGTCAAGTTTGGGACGAGGATTCTTGACAACACGTTTCGCTGCTCCTTTGGAAATCTTACGTAATTTCTCCAATACATCAATGTCCACCGCATCTGAATACAAAAGAACAATAAAAAAGCAAAAACTAAAAGGTCAAAACGTTAACAATCTCTAATCTTCTAGATATTCTGTTATTTGAAATTTACACAGGTTGATGAACTGGTGAATCCTCATAAAATGGGATGGTTACGACATGTATTATACACGTCCAACCACCGCTTATATAGATGTTGCCTAGTGAAGTAGGCTGGGAGGAAGCTAGGGGAAACCAAGGTACGGCGAGACACCAACCCATGAAGTCGTTGACAGTTAAGCTTAAACATTTCGGTAGGTATAGATCATCTGGTTGGGTTCGGCGCGATTGTCGTAACCAATGGGTAGAGACACTGAGTGATATGGTTCAGGATCGTTACCAATGGAGCACTTACTTTTTATTTTCCCAAGATCCTGAGTTGTAAAACCTCTCTACACATTTTTTTGTTTCTTATACTTGATTTTTCCTACTACTCGTGATACTTTACAACTTCTATTACTCTGAATGGGATCTCGCTGGGTTAATTTGATGGAGCAACTTGAACAGATTTATGTCACGTACTATGTTGATTATGATTGACTGACGGTTGTTCAAACAAAATTTAATGCTGTATAGAATAAAACAGACTAAAGCGCCTACTACTATGACATATTACATTAGAGGTGTATGTGTAAAACCCGAACGACAGTTCAGTAATTGAACAAATCAGTTTTCAACAAATACACCACAAGTTTTAAACAATTTGCGCTACCTGCTTCGGTTTGAGAAGCCGGACAGTATTACTAAAACCCATCAAAAGAAAATAACTCGCCTCGAAGCTGAGTACCTGGCTGTAATGGCGCAGATACATTTATTACTTTTCTTCTCTTACATCCTGAGTTTTAAATTATTTTATGCTACAAACCCACTGACTTTTCTACAAACAAACTTTTTGTCGAGTATTTTTTACTACCACTGATATTACAACTAATTCTACCATTTTAGTATTAATCTGACAATTTCATCTCTTGCTGTAAAGATGTGGAGTGGTAACTTCAACAGTGTACGTATTGCTGAGCCAGGCTCTACGTTTCCTATGACTGAATTGGTAGGTAAGTTACACAGACAATTAGCTAATTTATATCGGATCAAATATGTGAACTGATATTAGGTAAATTCGCTTACCATCATCTGCGCCATACGGCATTTCATGTTGGTTATTAGTACTGTGTCCTTCAAAAATTTCATTTGGTGAGTAAGCACGTCGTTTGGGGTCGCGTTTTAAGTCATTTTCACGACGACGGTTTTTTCTCGCACGTGAATCATTAGAATCATCATTGACAATAGATTCTGCCTCATCTCCAGTAACACCACTATTAGATTCCTGTTCTGATGATTCATAATTTAAACGTCTTTCGTCATCATCATCTGATGACGAAGATTCTTCACCTCGTGGGATTCTGGTTGATTCAATTGGAGGGATAGAGGACGGTAAATGTGTGGACGTATCAATATCTGTATAATCATTTTCTTTATCGCTAACATCATCATCATCCAGCATAACACGTAATCGATGCCGTGATAGTTTGCCTACGTTTGATGAATAACTCACATTGGAATCATTTAACTCAGAAATACGAGTACTGCTTAGCACACGAGAAGCAGAGATTTTAGGGGCGATTTCTGTGAACGCCTATGATTAATATTAGTAGAGGAAGTATGAAATTAAAAAGTGAGTAATTACCGAGAAACAAAAACAAAGGCTTTAAATTATTCCTGCTACACGATATTAATAAGTAACAATACACATGACTATGTTGTCAATTTTGAAAAAATACACGTTGTGTATGAGTTAGTGATACTACTCAGATGTTCAGACCGCTGTAGGTAAGTCAGGATGGTTACAGTATTTAGCTTTTATTCATTAAGTAGTTTAAAACACATACTTCATGCAATATGGAGTTGACAAATGGGAAGGTATACATAGCCTATGATTATGACACAATTGCACAACTCACACGAACTATCAAAAAAACATTTGTATAATTTTTAAAAATCTGGTTGAACTGTTTATACACAACTCCAGGGTCTTTTTTTATGAAAAAACAACTAAACAGTTGAAAGTACAAAAACAGTACACTGCAGTCTGGAAAACGATTGGGGACGAATCTCAGGAAAAGTTCCTACTTTTTTCATACATCATGTTGAGAAGTCTACGTGTTTTTGATATAGTGGACAGAACATCAATAAAATTATGTTAATGCACAAACGACAAGCAGAAGTTATGTAATCTCTTAAAACGAAACATAGGAAGTACACTTCTGTATTACCATCATGAATATTTAGTAACAAAATGATCAGCGAAACTCATAGCCGGACACTTTATAGGACCTAGTTAATGTCATAGACTCAGTAAATCAAACAAACACATGAGTTTATAGGTATCAATTACCAGGTTGGGCTTGTCAGTTTCAAATAAATTGAGCATTGGGTAGAGAGTTGATAATAAATATATGTGAGACTATAATTTATGGATGACCTTTGAGCAATACTTATGTGAACTTGGGAATGTTCACTTACTAACTAGGAATAAATGATGGTTATAAACCTGTAGTAAGAATAAAGGTTGTGGTTTACAGTCGATGGTTAGGGATTAGATTTAGGGTTTTCATCACGAACTGATATAGGCTGAAATGCCAAGACGCTATTTAGCCAAATGAAAAAAAGAATTTCGCGCCAAAACCCAAGATCTATTATTGTAAATCTGCTTGATTCGTCCTTAAATTATAGTTTCGCCTAAATATATTGTTTGTTATATCCCAATGAATAGAAAAAATGTAGTTCTGACGTTTCGTGACTAAATGTAAGTCAATTCTTTAGAGTGAGTAAATAACTGAATTCAGAAATATAATTTTTCTATTCATTGGGATATAACAAAAATTATATTTATTATTAATCATACACATGGTTCAGAATCGTTTGCCATGGAACAACTGTATTCACTCTTTGCCTAGCCATAGATACTAAGTTCATAAACTATACTACTTTTTTACCATACAAATAATCTACTTTTTCTTCTCAAAACACATTCTCTTTGCCTAGTCTTTTCTACTACCATTAATAATATTACTACTTCTCCTTCGGTGACACCTTGCCTGGTGATATGACGTGGCGACTTGAACCAACGTACGTACGTCTCAGGATCTAATTTGCATATGAATAACTGGCTAACACATTCAAACACGATCGAACCACCCAACAACTTACAAATGGTAGACACAAGTAGTCAGCCAGATAAGTCTATTGCTTATATAATTAATGATGTTGAGTGAAAAGGTTTTATTGCTTCTCTCACACCATTAGTCAGTGAAGATCTTATATCGTAAAATAATTTAACGCTACACAGTGTAAATATGGAATAATATAAAAATATTTCAAATTACCAGATAAACTTAATGCACAGAAATTTACTTTAAATAAAGAAAAGAGGCAAATTCATTTATACAAGTATACAATGAAATAAAAACAGCACACATACGCATAAAACCAATGAACACAGGTCCAAAATAATCACTTATATTTAATTAAAACATTAGGATTTGACACACAGAAAACAACAATTAATGTTATACTTTGTACAATACACAAATAAGTGTAATGATGAAAATAATAATAATAATAATGAATAATTCCAAGTTGTTTTACATTTCTCCACATTGTGATATTAGTACGGGAACTTTTGGACGATTATTAGCACCAGTTGGTACATTTTCAATTTTCTTTAAAACTAACATTCCATCAACAATTCGACCTGATAAATAAGGAAGAATGTGACCGAAAATAATATTCGGAGTGTAATGGTTTAAGTTACTGGAATTTAGAAAATCTTAAGAATAAAATGACGAAAACGAATGAGGGCATACATTTTTTTAAAGTGTTAAATATCTTGGCCAAACAGAAGATCAATTGCGGACCAACTATCTCAGCAACAAAGTCTCTGATTGTGATATTAGTTCAGATGGTTACAGAGTCAGTCAGTCAGTTACAACGTTGAACTTCGTACGTACGTACATCAGTTCGAGTTGCCATACCACATTAGCACAGACATGAAGTTGTCGATTCAAATCCCATGATGGTAGAAGTAGTAAGAGTATAAGCAGTAATCGGAAAGATTAGGGTTTGAAGATGTTATTGAAGGAGTATAATACAATGAAATAAATTTGGAAAGAGAAAAAGGATACAGACATGAAGAATTCAGATTAGAATTTGGTAGAACACAAAGAGTGGATGCACCTTCGCCATTGCAAACGATTTTGAGCCATGTCATTCAAGGTCTCTAACCAGTTGTGTTCCTAATACCGGTTTTCTTAACAAGTCTGAACAGTTGTCTGCTGCTACATATTGCGGCTGCCTTTTCCATCTCTCTTGATTTCGCTACCCATATGAGGGCCACACATAAACCAATAAATATCTTTAACTCATTCAAGTAACCTTAGCTCTGGAAACAAAGCTGATTTTCACACTTCTGATCTTCTCTTTGGAAATCAAGATTAAAAGAATTATACAGGACTAAAAAGCTATAGGTAAGTTGATCTCAAAGCACATTGCTCGTTCACCCAACAGCAATCGGTCTATTATGAAATGTTAGTCTAAAAATTCGAATAAATCTTCACAATTAAGTAAAGAGATAGTAAATACCATGTTTCGTATCTTCATGAAGGATTGATGATAGTTTAAAAAAAGAAATCGAATTTCAATGACCCGACATTTTAGACATTGAGTTATCTGTTCACATCTTAACGATCTAAAAGTGGTAACTGCCCTTTTTTTAAAAATCACTAATAGTGATAATTGAAATTAACCAACAAATAAAAGAAACGAGTTTACATTTAAGCAATATGTTTAGGGCTTTCTGATGATACGAAAATAGAAATTGAAGTGATTGTAATGACAGTGTATAGATTTTTGTAGTCATACATTAGTACACATATGAACTGTTTGCAAATACACTGAAGGAAACAGAGAACAAAACCACCTCCGATATCATATGAAATTTCCTAATTGGAAGAAAGATACATGTTTATGAAAGAGTTGTACGTATTTGTTCGGTTTTGTTGGCCAATAAAACCTTCCTATACATTCTCATTTTTCACAGTCAAGTAGCTCGTTAGAGAATACATACAAGCAGTAAGCTCATGCAATCGTAGAATATAACATCTCAACAATTAGAAACGTATTAGTGGGTTGGAACATACATATTAAAAAAAGGGTGCCTCACCAGATATGAACACTTGTTGTCAATGTATTATATTCATAAACTGAAAATGTTTCTCAAGACACAAATTGACGAACCACAAATAAACTCACCGAAAACCACATGTTTCCCATCGAGAAAGTCACAAGGGGCACAAGTAATGAAGAACTGACATCCATTTGTATCACGACCACTATTCGCCTAAAAGAGAATAAATTTGAAAACTGTGATTAAACTAGACAGTTAAAAATAAAACTTAATACTCAGTAACTATCATCATCTTGTTTACTTGTAGAACAAAATACTTTAGATATGAGATAGTTAGATAAGCTTTCACTTAAGTCATATTGCTTTTCCCTAGTGTATGTCAAGGTCTACTGATCCAGAGGCTGCTGCTTCAGTAGCTATTCTCACATGCATTTGTTGTTGTTTATGGGATAGAAGAGCTAGGTCATATGCGAAGTCCAAATTGTCCAGGCATATCTAAGTTGTCCATTGTAATCTGTGCTTTCCCTGGGATGTGGAGGTTATTATGATTCAATCGACCGCCAGAAAAAAGAGAAAGGGGAAGAGTAAGATGGGTTGTCTGAAAACGGCCTTCACTTGAAATGAATATTGCAGTTGCTTTTATGTCTGATTCAGTGCTGAAGATTCTCATATTTCTCTCTCTTTCTGCTTCTGTTGTCACTGCTTGGTCTTCCACACATTTCTGATTGTCAGCTCTAATGCTCTTCTTCACTTTCATGTTTGCTTCTGTGTTTTCATTCGGTGCCCTGGCTTTCGCTGCTCTTGTTCGGCTGTCGCTAATTACTGTTTTTCTATCCTTTCTCTCTTGAATCTTGTTCAGGGTTTCCAAAGAGATCAATTCCTTATGATGTTGCTTCTTGCGACCCAACACCTCCTAACACGTTGGAGTTAGTTTTCTTTTAATCCCTTCAAGTTTTTCTCCTTGGTAGTTTCATCTTCTTTGAGTAGATCTTGAAAGGCCTGTAACCTGTTGTTGAGATTTATTTTCAATCCATTGAGTTTGTTGGTGTGTTGAAGGAAGGTTGTATTAGGTTTTTAAATGCTGTCTCCCCAGTTGTTCAGTGTTCTTTAGCCTCAGTTTCATCTTGGTCACAACCAGGTGGTTATCTGAAGTGATATCAGCTCCTTCATTAGTTCTCACGTCTTCTATTGACCTTCCTAATTTTTTGCTGATGTAAATATGATCGATCTGGTTCTCTGTAGTGTGGTTCGATGAGGTCCATGTAGATTTTTGCATGTTTGTAAGGGAATATATTGCCGCCAACAACTATTTTGTTGAACGCACATAAATTTGCAAATCACTCGCCATCTTCATTCTTTTCTCCTAGTCAGTCCATATCGTCCTTTGATATCTTCATAAGCCGTGTTGTCGATTCCGACTTTGACGTTCAGGTCTCCATCAGGACGGTCAGGTCCTTTCCTGAGCATTTCTTTACGACTAATTGCAGACCCTCGTAAAATTGACCTTTACCATCTTCATTGCTATAATTGGTCGATGCACATAACTGGATAACATTCATTACGATCAAATCCTTCCTTTTGAAGAATGCTTTGGTGATTCTGGATCCATGAGTGCTCTTAGTGTTTTTTAACAGCATCAGTTTAATTCCTTGCGTGTGAAAACATTTTCTTCATCATGACCAGAATACAATAGCATCTCTCCCGAATATAATCTTTTCTATCCAACTTGGGTCCAATGGGTTTCACTTATTAAGAGCACCCTCAAGTTGTATCTACTCATTTCTGTAGTTGTTTGATTGATCTTGACAGTCTCCCACATTATGCGGACTTTTCATGTACCATATTATTGTTGCTTTGGTTGTCAGAAGGGCATCAGCCTCGTGAGTTCCGAAGAATCTCGGCTTTCACCACGAGGCGTAACGACTCTTCTAAATAAAATTCCTTCAACTCTTAGGGCAAAGTTTAAATGGTTCAAATTGTTTGGTGTTTTTGTAAGGTTGTTTTCTACGGGATTGGATTGCTGACCCAATGTCCAACCCTCCTTTATTCAGGCTTATGACCGTAAGTAACCCGAGGTTATTGCTTATACTACTTGTTAATATTCAGTAATCAATTGCATCTCTAATAATTTCTGAACGTATGATTACAAACTTTTACCAGTGCAAACAAGTATAATGTTTTAAACTGGAAAAAAATATCCAGTACACATCAGCTTTGCATGGTGAATAACTTAAAAGAAGGAAATATAAACTGAGTAGTGGGACAAGAGAGAGATATAAAAAAGTGGGAAGCACACATTACTTACCATAGACAGCATTCCACAAGTACAATGTTTCACTTCAAAATTCTCATCTGCAAATTGTACACCACCATAAATACTAAACGATCCAGTTCCATCACCCTGGAAAAAAACGATTAATTAAACGAACATTGTCTTTTCGTTGTGGTAGAATATGTACTGAAATAATGGTACTGTTACATACCGGTTACACAATGCTAGAAACTTTTCCACAGATCATGATTTACAAAAAAAATCAAAACATGTTCAGTTAGAAACAAATCACAGACACATATATATTCAAATGTAGTGGTTCATCCGCGTCCCCCACTTCAAATATTCCAACGATAACAAGGATCGCTAAAACGATGGATCATTATTTTATAAATCTGATTTTGCTGACATCTATGCGACGGGGGGTATTATCATTACCCACGTAGCTGACAAATGTTGTTGTTTTTCTTTTGTCCCTTATGCTAACTTTTGAGAATATGACCATAAATATTTTAAAAAAGGGAGGTTGATTTTGTGGTGTCGGTTACTATGCAAGCCCACATAACTTATTCTAACTTCCGGACAGGCCAACTCATTCATTCATCTTGAGTCACATTTTGATCTTGTTAGTTATTCGCTGATCCACCCAAACTGTTTTTATATGAGCGAATGTATATGCACTTCTTATCCCATTCATTACGTGTCTGCAACTTATTTTTATGTGACTATAAATTTGATTAACGGCTGATTAAATTGAGTTGGCTAACACGCCTCCACCGCGCGTCATTTCTCTTTGCCTTCTTCTCTTCGCTCCGTTTCTCCGCTCGTCTTCCACATCAACGATTGTATGAAATACACGCATTCAAATTTCATTCTCGTATTTGACTCATTTAATTCAGTTATTCATTAACGCGAGTTAAGTCGATGATTATATAAAAGGATAGTCAAGATGTGTAATTTTGACAGTAGTCATTCACACGATCGAACTGGAGTCAGACATCAGGCCATGAAAGTTTACATGTTATCGAAATATGTCTAGATGCACACCTTTTTTCGCCCAAATATATCAAGATATAGCATGCTGACAAACAAATTATCTCTGGCTACAACGACATTCAGACCTAAATTTAAATTAGTGATAACATGATTTTTAGGACTCATTCTTGTGAAAAAGACAATCACTGCACAAATTACGAGTTTAGATATTAATCGTGAAACAACAATAATATGTCATTTTTATAATAATAATTATTATTATTGCACGAAAGACAGGTTTGATGAGTTCAAAGGAGGAAGGAGTGAAAAACTATTCACCAATGAAAGGATGGTTGTGAACAATGAATTTAAACCACAGTTATTTTAATGTTATTGTACTTGCATGTGTTATATGTGAACACAACTTTTGGGATTATTTATTAGGCCTCCAAATAATTATCGGTTACAGAATAAAACCAGATTGGGTTTTCATCAATAGACTTGTTATATTTTACGACAAAAAAGAACTTTGATAAACGTAGGCGTATAGAACAGACTCAGTCTTAGCTTTAATTAACGCGGATGAAACAGAGCTCGAATGAGGTGACACAGAAGTTGAAATTCAAACAATTAAACTCTGTAAAGTCACTGATTTACAATCACCGAAAGAAATAACCGAAAATAAAGTACTTAATATATGAATCAACTTACATTGATAAAATCCCCGCCTTGTACCATGAAATCTTTAATGATTCTATGAAATGATGTTCCCTTGTAACCAGTTGGTACACCATCTTTACGATACTCACCTGTACAGAATTGTCTGTTGTGTAATTGGAAGTCAACACACAAAGAAAACAATACGGTTAATGATAGATAGTCATATTACACACTTTTTAGACATGAGAGAGTGAACTATGAATGGATATAAAGGTATCCGAAGCGGAACTAGTGAAAAATATTTTTAGCAGACACAAAATGCAAACAACTACTTAACTAATAGTAAATACACAGTAAACCCTCCACCAAAACACTCGAACACACTGATATAAAGAATCAAAAATATTGTTTCAACACTTGTAAGAAGATGAAGATGTAATCAATGCATTCACGATCTGAATGAAAACCAGAATACTCCTTGAGAAGCAATCTTTCATGAGATTTGTACAATCTGTGGAGTACGACGGAAATTAACAGTTTGGAAGTAATAGGAAGAAACTTTATCCCCCGGATAATTATTGTATAAATTAAGTCAGCAATTTTCACAGAGAGGAACGATAATAGCTTAATTCTATGACGGTAGAAAACTGTTCGTGTCTCAAATCATTTCAAGAATTCTAGATAGCCCTCTCATCAGCTACTCGCCTCTATCCTCGTAAACGGCCTGCTAACTTATGACACTTTAAAAGATGGAATATTACATGGACTTTGTTTCAATAACACTAGGCTTCTGTTTATCAACTTACTAGCTAAAGCACTAAACTTCTAGCCTTTAAAAATCCAGTTCCAATTCTCTCATATCTAATTCAGTTTTGGAAACTGAACAGTGTGATTGACACCCTATTCTAAATACATATATACTGATATGTCTTCCAGCTGAAAGTGAATATATAATTATTTATTTTACGACTGAGTAAGACTATATTAAATTTTTAATCTGATGGGCAAGTAAAAAAAATCAATTTTTTCTGTAATACTGGACAGAGTCCAATAATAAAATGTGAAAAGAATACAAAATGGTACCTACCTGAAATTCTCTACAGTTTTCGGGACAATATCTTGAAATAATTCGAATTGCATTCGACCGATTTCCTACAAAGAAAGCAATAAAAAAAACTGGAAACCACCAGGAAATTATTAGACTTAAATGTTAGTAAGAACCTAATCTATGTACTTTCCCAACAGGTGTCTTTAAAACATTCTTAACCAAGTGAATAATATTGAGAGATTGTACGCAGAGTGCTACTGTAAAGATGGAAATTATTTGATGAAACTGTACTATACTAACGGGTCCCAAACAAAGACGAACTACTTATTCATTAGCGCACCATGATTTTTAATGGTTCTCCAGTTGATAACAGTTTATGGTGAAAACTGTTATACAGAATGGGATACCCGAGAAAAGATGTAACTTTAAAGACAATTACACGGTCGAATATTGTACTTATTTTCATTATTCAATTAGTAAACATTTGAGTTTACGATATTTTCATATTGTCCTAATTACAAGCTCGCATTTAACTTGTTAACTGCCGATATACATTTTAAAACATTGTATAAATGTTGCCCTGTTTCGTATCACTTGCGACTTAGTTATGTACAAATCGTGATTCTTCATTTGCATTATATTATGGTTGTGTACTTAATTTATATGGTTCTCTGAGTATTCAAGTCTTAATAATAAAAGCCATATCGGTTTACTGTTTTCATTTTTCTGACTGGATATTGGGGAAAGAAAGAACTATGTTGAACCAACAGGAAATATGATCATTGTCATTGCTGACGGCCACTTGTGTTAGTGATTATAGAGAAAGTTATTGATCTGATTGGTGTAGGAGAACTTGTAATGAACAGATTTTATAATATTGAGAACCGATCAGGTGGATGATACAACAGGGTAAAGGTCACAACAAAAAACAATCGTCAAATTTATTTCGAAAAACCATACAACCAAACTGTTTTATTTTCTGAAATCATATGAACTTTTAAAATGAATTAATGAATGAAAACTTAGTGTAGATAATTTTAGGGGAATCACCTTCATCCTCAATAACAGTCATTATTCTACAGGATTGTGTAAACTAAGAGTAGGTCTTTAGTGAAAAAAAAATGACCAAGCTAAAAAAAACCCAACTGGACAGTGGAAAATGAAAATACATATTGTGTTATGAAATATTGTACCACTCTAGATGACCACTTTGGAACCATTAAGTAGGTAATATATAAAATGAATAACCTTAATATGGACTAATTCCACTAGATGTGAACAGATTGAAATTGCTTAAATTTACATAAATCAGTACTATCCTGGTCAATTTTGAATCAACACATGTAACTCCATGATTGTGAAATTGTGATAAGTGATTTTATAACTATCAGATCATGAAAGTAAAACCTTTTTCTATTTGGAATTATTTTTATACCTCTTGAAATTTTAAAACTCTAAGGTATCGAACGTAGTAATCAGTATGAGCACAGAAAGACTAAGGGCAGAAATAAGGAAGATCAACTTGATAACAAATATTTAATTTTGATCATAGTCTCTAGATCACTGACATAAGTATTCATACAGTCCTCAATTGGAAATACACAGTTATGAAAGTCCTTGATTTGGTGTGGAAGTAGGTTAGAAGGAAACTAAAAGTGGCCAATCCAAAACGTGACATCAGTTTATGAAGTCATAAACTATTGGATAGAGCCATTCTGGTAATTGTAGCCCAACAGTCTGGGGACGTCATGATTATAACGATCTAAATACACTCACTCTTCATCTTCCATTACAGTTTCACATTTAAAATTCATTTACACTTTGTAATCTCACAAACTCGTTCTTTATCATCCAATCAAAGTATCTATGAGGAATCTGTTTCAGTACCACCAATATTGTTACTGCTTCTAATACTCAGACTGATTTACCTTGACAATTTCATCTCACTGTTTTGATATGGTGTGGAAACTTGAACCCATGTATGTCAGAATCCACAAGGCTTATGACTGAATGATCAATATAGTGGGATTATACATATATATCAAGAAATATGGTTGGGGAAAAAAGAATAAAAATTTAAAGGCTATATTTACCTGTCCACCAATCGTGACATCGAAGAAAACGACTGGATTATTCGGATTGTTCATACGCTCTGCAACTGCTGGCAAAGGCACCCCCATTATCTAAATTTAATTAAGGTGGGAGAAAATAACGTGTTTGCAAGGCATATATAAGTGGAAAATATCAACTAAAAACTAAACACATTTTATATTAGGTAGCAGTTTAAATTGGAAATAGTTCTCAGCTCAAATCGTAACGTAAATTATAATTGACTGATTGCTGAGAAGTGATCGACGTGATATTTGCCTGGTCCTTCCTTATTGTTGATCAATAGAAATCTGTCAATTTGCAATGTGGCTGCTAGTCTAATTGAATCTACGCCCCAGGCATGATTTTCAGATGTAAAATAGTTAGAGCCAGGGTTCTCGGTCGACTACCTTCCATCATCCAACAACGTAAACTACTGAATTCAGTAGAAAGGTTTGAATACAATTGTAATTCCCAAGATTTTTTCTAATGATCTTATAGTTGCATGGGCTGAGAATAATATTCACCTTTGTAACGACTTATACTATCAAATTATCTCGTAATACACTGATTTTTTTGCCTTGTCAAACAAACACTCCCCTATTCAGTAGTTGTTTACTCATTTATCATAAGAAGCAGGGCTATTTAACCATAGTACATTAGTAGCCTTTGAAATCTACTACAATCAGAAAAGCAACCTAATACGTTCATCAGCAAAGATGAAACTGATTTTAAAATGCTTGTCTCCTGGAGAAATACAAGCAGCATGTATATGCTTGTGCAAATAACCAAACGGAATCCTATTTGACTTAACTAATTCATTTCAGTAATCAAAACGTAAATTTGCATATTTGACTTTAAGGTACTCACTTTTATGACAATACTTGATACTAGTCGGCTATGAAAGTTTAGTAGACTGAAGTTTGAAATATACTGGTTAAAAAACAATTGATCTATTCATTAAATCATTCACTTCACTCCCCCATCCCATACTATACTACTTTAATGGAAAGGTTTTACTTTCAATCTAAATGGTAAAAATTACTAAACAAATCAAGCAACTACTGACAAAAAGTAATTGAAATTGGCTTTCATTCTAATCATACAAATGTTTTTCAACTTATTCACCAGGTATACAGATTAGTTTATTTGGCTTTGAAACACATTCTATATGTATACATGAGGGCTAGTGACACTAATCAATTAGTTAAACTAAAATGGGAGCGAAATGAAGTTAAAACCTGAAAATTAAATGTTTTAACCACTGACCCATCACTTCAACATACAACACATACACATATGTATGAGTAAAAGTAAACACAAAAACTGACTTGCAATAAGACAATTGGTGTATTTTTACAATTCTGATAAATGTCCATAACATTAAAAGTACATATTACAAGTAAGATCCAGTACAAGAAAATAATAGTGTGAATATACAAATACACAGTTGTTGTTTTTTGTTGTCTCTTGACATACAAAATAATGACTAGTCCTTTTTCTTTTTATGTACAAAGAATGAACTCAAAAATTTACAAAACTATACACTTTTAAATACTAAAAAAAAATGTAGAAATTAATAAATTATCTTTAAACAAATAGAGATTTACAATGATAGTTTAGTTAAAATTATTTGACATGTTTGAGTATATTGTTGTAACAGTTCAGCAGATAACTCGGAATCATTATTATTACAGTTATTTACAAGTGAAATAGATTGTTCAATTAGATCTTTTAATGAATAAGAATGTGTTATAGAGGATATTGTTGACAATGACGATGATGATGACGACGACAACGACGAGGATGGCCATAGATAAGAGAATAATTCATTATGATTTATTTGTTCAATAAATTTAACTATTATCTCCAATGGTAATTTACCAATAAACTGAATAATTAATTTTGGATTAAAAGCAATTAAACGAATGGAACAAGTTATATAAGTGAATAATAATTGATTATTCATAATTTCTTTTGATTTATTATGATTTAGTATATTTAAAAGTTGATTTCCAGCATCAAATATTAATTGTTTTAATGAATTACATTGTTTCCCAGGATTATTAGTTTTGAATAAATGTGAACCATAGATAATGATATCTGTAATTAAACAGCTTAAACGACTGATAAGACTCAATATATCATTGTTTGATGACAAATCTTTCATTCTGTATTGTTTACAACAACAAAAATACATAACATTTAAACAGTTAGTATTCTGTGAAAGTTATGTACTATAACAAAAAAGGTTACATGTGATTAAAATAAAATAAAATTATTGTTCAATTATAAGCAAAGATGGATAGTGGCTAGCAGTGTAATCCAGGACGCGCGTTTCGTCCTATTTGGGACTCGTCAGCTGGATGTACCTGCATCTCAGAGTTGATGCTCACTCTGAGACTCGAACCCAGTACCTTTCGCTTCATACGTCATCGCGTTATCCACTCAGCTACTGAGTTCTGATATCCACTTGCTTGTGCAATAAGGCTATATCGCGGCAATACGCACAGTATGCACATATGCCAATAAGAGACTGACAAGTTGCAGTCCTAAACATCAATGGGAAGATTCAAACAAGTAATACTAAGTGAATTTATTGTCCAATTAGATTCGTGATAGAGTCTTGGCTTAACATTTAAAAAAAGATCAACTTTTAAGCACTTGTTTTTACATTAGAATATTACTTTCCATCTACTTTAGTATGGTTACTTGGATAGTATCATAGATAATTATAACACAAGGTGTATCTTAAAATCAAAAACATAAGCCTGAACTTAAATATTGAGTTAATTTCTCATAATAGTTAATATAAAAACACAACGAAGATAAATTATGTTATGATTTCACCTTCTTTGCGCCCTTTAAGTATATTTACTAGATTATACAATCCAGTAGTGAAGAGTTTGATTTAAGCCAGTAACAGCAACAACCTTCATTGGAACAAGTGATAGTAAAACTAAAATAAAGATGAGATGACTGTTTACTGTGCACTAATAAGTGCAGACTACCAAGTTGAGGATAGAGACACTGGGTGACACAGAGGTTCAGAATACTTCGCTACGGTCTAGAAACACGCATTCTCAATCTCTCATTACATTTTCACTTTTAAAATTCATTTACACTTTGTAATCTCACAAATTCATTTCTTATCATCCAATCAAAATTCCTGTGCATAATCTCTTTCACTACCATTAATACCGTCCCTACTTCTAATAAACTGACTAAGATTTATCTTGACAATTTCATCTCACTGTGCTGATATGCTGGAGTGTTGGGGATGTCAAATCCCCAGAACTTACTTGGTAAATGGCTTAATTTTGTAATTTTATTTTGGAAATTTGAATTTGTTTTCGCGCCAAACGCGCTCTTTTTACCTTCACGTCATATTTCCCACTTGTAAACTATCTTAAACGCTATTGGTCCATTGTTTCTTTGTGTGTGCTATTTACTAATGATGCTCAAGGACAATTTGTTGCTGTATAAATGCGCTTGACTTTTTCCCTTATTTGATTGCTTGTACTCGGCTGCTTACGGAATACATATATATTCCCCTAATTGCATTGGACTCCTTCATCTAGTTAGCGGGGCCTGGGACAACAGATTAGAATAGCTTATCGTGACATTGTGTCATTGGCTTCCGTTCATTACCGCGGAATCAATTTAGTTCAAGCATATCATAGTGGCAACTTGAGCCGATGCACTCATGTGTCAAATTCTAAGCTACTAATGACCAACTAATTTACTTGTGAATTTTCAAAGACCAGTAACTCATAATAGATGGATGATTTACAAATCTATCAGACGTACAATAACGATTGAATTACAGCTAAAAACTTTTTAATGATTTATAAAAATTGAATTATTCACATATCACGATTTATTTTGACCGTATACAGGAAAATGTGAAAAGTATGATCATAAAACTTTATTGTATCACTTTAATTAGTTAAACAGACTCACTTCAAACACTTTGTTAACCATGGAAGTAGTCGACCCGTGAGAAGCCAACCAAACAAACCATGCTGTCGGTGTCGTTCCACTTGTCGATATCTCCGTGTACGTTGATGATTTCTAGATCTTGAAGAAACATTGGCGGGTTGTTCATCATGGAAACCGATCATCGCCTCTTCACCAACAACAAAAGCCATTGCAGATAGAATTAATCTTAAGGAATAAATAATATCTAAATCAACCACCGTCTTAGACAATATCGTCATATGTGTTGAAGAATCATCTGTGATATGATCACGACACACATTTAAACATGTATCTACCAGTCTAAGGCATAAACAGCGAATACGATGAGCTTGTTGAGAGAATGCAAAATTATGAATCTCAATAGGTGTTGAAGACTCGGATGCTTTTGCTGGTAACCAACCTTTTTGACGAAGTCTACGATAAACAGCTACCTGGTTAGAATTCGACTGAACATTAGATTTTAAACAGGCGTTTCGTGCTTCTCGTGCTTCCTGCCAAGCTAATAATGTTTTTAATGTAGTGGTTATGTAGGAAAATGAAAAGTGATCATTATTGTCAACCACTGCTGGAGTAAGCGAATGAAATTCAATTTCATCTTTGATTAATTCCACATTACACCATAAATTAGGAAATGCATTTAAACAATTATCTATAATATGTGGCATTAAGTATAAAGCAAAATTTTGTTGTGTAAATGCTTGATGAAATAAATGACTTAGATATTGAATTAAAAACTGTCGAGACCATTCTACTTGAACAAGATCTAAATTAGTTGATAATAATTTGAAAATAACACCACAAGCAATCGAATATTGAGTTATTTCAGTGAATTTATCACAGGTATTAAGTAACCATTCGGTAGATTGTTGATAACAATGCAACATCTCCATTTGATGATCAACACTTACACTATGGTACAAAGATACAAATTTCTCATCCATTGATTTTAAAAGTAAAGGACAATTTAAATAATTGAATGAAGTTAAAATAGCATTTAGTGAAGATAAAATAATTTGAATGGGCATATTCGTTTGTTTTAATTTATTAGATAAATCTGTTGGCGCTGTTTTGATTGAATCTTTATCTGATAATAGGAAATTAATACATTTTTGTTGTAACTCATCATATTGATGATCTGGTTTTGTATTATCAGTAATAATATGATTTGCAGTCTTCGGTAAAGACACATCAGTGGATAAACAATCAAGTACCATTTTTTTCCCACCATGAGATTCACTGGTCACCTTTCTTTTACGATTTATTTTCTCACCATCATTCAGCTTACATAGTTGTTTGTTTTTTATCGGACTGGAATGAGTTTGTGGAGCTTCGACAGTGACGACAGGGACTTGAAGGTGAGTTTTAGAGTTAGTCGAAGTAGACGATATTTGACCACTAGAACAGATTTTTGGGATTTCATTCAAGAAAGATGATAAAGACAGTCGATCACACCACCGTAAAATATCAGATGAATACTTATCTGATAATAATGAAAATAGTTGAACATCAGATTTAAGTGATGTTGATAATGATAATGCAGGACAATTTGAACTACGAGAAAGCGTCGAAGGACAGGTCAACACACGAGAGGAAACATTATCATCTAATGTTACGTTTGTTTTAGAGCGCTTATTTTCTAATTTCTTTATTTGTTGTACAAGTGGCTTAGTCGATGTTTCCAAATATGATGTTTCTTCTAAAATCAATTTAGCTTTGGGATCTGATGATTTCTCACATAGATTAACTGGAAAATTATCATTAGAATGAAAAGATGATGTAATCAGTGAAGAGTCAATTACTTGAGAATTACTTTTTAATCTACTTCGAGTAACCATTTTATGGGATTTTTCAGAAGATTTTGAAATACTTGAGGAGTTTAAAGTTTTTGCATTGGAACAATTGGTCATTTCATTTTCACCTAGAAAAAAGGGTAACAATCTTGTTGAACACCTTTTATTTCATTAAATGACAAACATGAAAACAAAAGAATTCACAATACAGTACTATTAATCAAGCTTGGTTAAACCAATTACCTTAAATTTCGTACTTTACATTATCGACTATCCTTAGTTACATTACTATTAAAAATCATAAAGCACTAAAGAGCCATTTTGCCCTATTATGGGAATCCTCTGCAGAACTCATCCACGACTCCGTTCGGAGATGGAACTTAGGACCCTTATATTCCGCAGTGAACACTGATGAGAAACCCCATACTAGGACGGAACTTTTATCGAACGATTTTTAGTTTACAATGGTTGTTTAAAGTCAGTCTGTGATGTTAACTACAGCATCCAACAGTCTTCCCAACTCTACCTGCATCCATACCAATAATTTTCCTATAGTTGAACGGCATTAATGAAAACAATAAAACAGGAAGTATACTTTCATGAAGCTACACTAGGAAAGAGAAATTCGGCCATATTTAATACTATAATGCTATCGCACAATTAACATAATTTTAAAATGCCTGATAATGATAACAATGCAACAGTTGTCATGTAGTTGAAGCATGAAAATAAGTGAAATATTGATCTAATTTCTTTTTTAATAGAATAATAATGTGACGTAATTTATTAACAAATCATAGGTTAAGCTGCTACTAGGATTTAAGCAGGACATTTCATGTGAAGTCTAGAAATATTAATTGGCTGCAGCAACAGTAAAATATATGTCTTTGGGTTCGAAATTTTGACCTGACAGTTGGAACCCAATTATTTTAACTAATAAGCAATTAATTGATATTATTAAGAAACACTACAGGATTATTTTATCTGATAAGTAAATTATTCAACTTACTTTATTAAGTAATTAAGTGTTTTCTAGACATATTTCACAGTTAATATGCCCGAAACTACTGTTCTTCAGTCGATTCCCAACACAAGTAAAAATAGGCCGCTTGAATACACTACTTTTGTCGGCTATAAATTTATGACAAATCTAACACATTGGCTCTTAAAAAAAGCTGACCTATGTATAATTAAAATTTTTAATTCTTGTTATCTTAATTTTAATGTACTTGAGTAACTGAGCATAATTTCGTACATTCCGCATTGAATCATACTCTAATTTATATCCAGTCAGTCGATTAGTGATACTCTCAGGTTACTCAAATTCCAACCACAGCTACTACTTTGACGCGATAGTCGGGCTTGTCTATCGTGGTAATTCAGTGAAGTTAGTTCAGTTGGATAACCAACATTTTCAGAGACACTAACTTCTCGCAACTGAGAGGAGAGGTCAGAAAAGCCAATTTCTAAAGATATCACACTTCGCCTTACCCTACAGGCTTCCAACGCTGGTGGCAAGGCTCAAAAAGTATGTAACACACCAAAGGCTACACTCCAGGAAAAATTGTGTGGCGAGCCTACAAAAGCTGTCTCTTGGTCACTCTCTCGAGTCATCAGGGCTCCCACTAAACTATTTTCCTCATAAAGTACCTTAAGAAGAAAGGTCGTTTTACAGTGTGGACAAACACGAATTGAAAACTCCTCGCGTACATCTGATTTCCAGCTGTTCAAGCTAGAGACAGAGTTCGAACCAACCTCCCAGTAATTGAAATTCGAGTATTTTTATCACTATACTTATCATTTCATAGGCACAATCGTATATAGGTATCATACAAAAGGGAAACTTATCGTTGCATCTGTCCACATGTGAACAACACGCATTGAACAATATGTGAATACTACATATCCCAATGCCATGCATGCATCGAGTAAACGCATGTCCTGCTCAGAGTTTGAGTTTCAATAAATTTCGGAACATTTTGAATAGTTAGAAAAAAGGTTCTCTATTAAATTCAAAATCTCAGAAGGGAAGCTTGTACAAAATCTTTTTTATCAAACAGACAAAATAGTGTTGGTTTTTGTATTATACTGAATGATCCTTCAAAATAATAACCGGAAATTATTCACACATTAGGGGATTGATGAAAAAAGATAATTTAGAAAACTTGTATACCTTTATTTTTTTCCGTAACATTTCCACCTGATGACACTTCTGAAATGATTAAATCTTGCTTCAATGACTTAGAATCGCTTTTATCATGTCTTGATTGTAAGCCAGAAACTGTGTTTTCATCAGGTTGAACATAGTTCAGAATCACAGGAGAATGAAAACCATTGTTAGACGTTTCATTACAAGACAGTGAACTAATATTTATTGAATTACCCTTGAGACCATTCGATTCATTGGTTGTGATATTCAATTGATGAAGAGGAGATTGAATAATTACATTTTGATCCTGAAATATATCTTCGGAAGACTCAGGCGAAGCTTTATCATTATTATAATTACCATTATTGTTGTCATTATCGTTGTTATTAGTATTCCAACTTTTGTTTTTGTCATTATTATTAAAAGCACCATCGCCATCGTCATCATGATCAGAAGAGGAGGAGGATATATCAGGAAATTTCAAACTACCACACCTACTACTCTCACTTGATGAGTAATCAGACATTACTATATGAACAGAAAGTAAACAAAATAATAAACGATGGAAAATGTTAATTATTTCCAAACAGTTCAATATTATATATATATATATATATATATATATATATATATATATTCTCTCACTCCAATAAACAATATGAAGTGAGGATGATGCTGTCTTGAGCATCAAAAGCTTCTTAATTAAATCATCCAGATTAGAGAACACATCGCAAAAACATTTTTATCACCTATGAAACGTACACAATTACATTAGAGATTTGTGGAGATTGTTAAATCTAAACAGTTTTGTGGGGAGATGACTCAGTGGTTAAAGAGTTTGACCTTAAGCCATTAAATCCCAGGTTCGAACCTTGTTCCACTTACTACGATCTGGATAACCGGATAGTATTATTCGCTAATCTGAAAAATTAATGTGACTAGAAACCAAGTACACAGACCTTTACCTGGGTAAACGATTCAAATAAGTAGATGATGATGGTTTATATCACGGATTAAACATCAGCCAGAGAATAGTTACAAAATTAGGTAGCAATGGGTAGTTTTGTTTTAGTTTGCAACTTGCTTAAAGATGTTTCTCTCACTTTTATGAACAGAAAATTACAGCAGGAGTGCCACTGAGTTCCATTCTGACTCATCTGATAACGTCTCAAGCCACTATGTTGCACTAATTCTGGAACCACAACTAGGGAGTAGTGAAGAATCAACAAATGCCGGCCTTATACAGTCTATATTCATGCCACGGCACTATACCACAAACTGATCACATCTCCTCGTTTTCAAACCAGTTATAGAGTCATCAGATAATACATAATGCGGAATTTGCTGAGACGACATTCGCAAAATATGTTCAAGGCACAGAAGTTGGTGTTTCAAAATGGTAAAACCAGATTTGTCATTGCTGTGCTCGGACACACGTCATCAAGCCCCCCCCCATTGTTGATGTGGCGCTGACACTGAATGTCAGCAATCCTTTGAAGACAATGATTACTGAACACAGAGAGTTGCTTAAAATCCTCAACTTGGAGAGGCCAGGTTTCACAAACATTGAGCAAAATCGCTATGATGATCATTAACGGAAAAATGATGTTGCTCGCTCGCGATAACTACATAGACAACTATAATCCGGCTCCAACGTATAAAAGGGACAGAAACATGACTTCTACAAAATAAGTCAAAAATCTCACTTTCTTGCTGTTACAAGAGACAGATCTCATATTGTTTCGTGGGAGAGGTGATATGATGAGTAAGAGTTAAGACAAGAAGTCTGGTCTTGATTTATTGGCGAGTGACCCAACTATAAAGTCAATATCCTTTAGTCTTCTGTGAAATTTACTCATCATATTTTATTGGGTGAAAAAACCTAACCTTCTGACCAACAGTCTTGTCTTTAACATCAGTCCACTAGAGAGCCTGAGTTAGTAAACAATTCTCAGCTAAATCATACCATTGTATTCCGTCTTTCAACCAGTTCTGTACCCATCCAAGTTTTATTCATGAAATCATAATCCACAAAACAATGTGACTTACAGAAAAAGTTCAAAATCACATCACACTTTAATCTCATAATAAATAAAGGGTAAATAAGTATATATACTCACATTCTACTTTATCTATTTCACAAGGTGGATCATTTTTTATTATTTCATCTTGGCCAAATTCATCTAAATCTACTTTATCTGAATTTATAGATGGTTTGTCTCTTTTGACTGTGGAAGTTTTATTAAAACTTTTATCCATTTCAAAAGCTTTTTGATCAATTGAAGGCTTAGCTAGAGAATTAATAAGGTGAATGTTTTCATTTGATTTGTTAAAATCTTTCTTCGGTGATTCAGCCACAGCGGAACTATTCACTGACTTTGAGGCTTTTTTATCCAATTTCTGAGATTTATTATCTGAAACAACCGGATGACAGTCAGTGAATTGAGATAATTCCATAGTTACGTGGTCAGGAATTGCAATAGTAAGTAGTTTAGCTATTCGTGTTATACAGTGGATATTTAATACTGCATTTAATGATCTCATTTGATTTAAATCGTAATTCTTTTGTAATAAACTCCAAAAAGGTTCAATTAAGGTTTTGAATTCTGTTCGTATTGAGTCAATAATATGAGATTGAGCAACTTCCTACAGTATAGAAACAGTAAACATGAGATAAAATTGTTAATATTGGGCGGAAAAGTGGTGCCAAAGAAAAAGGCTAATGGTCGAATGAGTGAATAGAGTTAACCTAATTACCAGGCATAGATTGAAGCATCTGGCTCTAAGTGTAGGGATTAATGGTACTAACTGATTATGGAAACAAAAGTGGGTAGGGTGGGGTTTGAATCAAAAACTTGGTGGTTTAAACACAAACAGCTTGATTACAAGGCTATCATACACAGAAAGTAATGTCTACTAAGCAGTTGAGCTTGAACATACGATAAATTCCTCTAAATTCATGGGCGGTTAGATGTTGTGTACGAACAATCTAAGAAACATTTTAAAATGAAGAAATAAATTTCAGCTGAATTTGCAGAATGTAAAACATTTACAATGTAACACCTTGTACATTTACATGGACAACTTATCATTGCTTAAGAATTTATCATATTGAGCTGTAAAATTCATATTTCCAAAAAATTTCAAATTTTAACATCAATTTCAAATATAATCAGAGTACAACCTAATACAGATGTGTGTTGACCCATATTCCATAGCAAATTAGCATTATAAAAATGAGTAGTGAGAAAGTCAAAATAATGTGATCACAATGATGATCAGAAGGACCATATATTGAAAGACAGAATGAAAAGATACTTATAAAGGAATACAGGAACTGAAGATCTGGAGGAAGATAAAAAGTGAATATACTTGCGTCATTGTGATCTATTCTAAGCCGAAAACAGATTATTGCAAAAGCAATAAAGTATATATATACGAACAAGTCTCATCCAAATAAATAACAAACTAATTATCAAATAAATGAACTTGAAAATGGTATATACATTAAAAATTAATTCTAAAACATTTTTCCGAAAAAAAGAAAATGTAAAGTATTCAGTTTCAGATTAAATGAAATTATTCTTATCATTATTGTTGTTACATAACAACTGATCAGAAAATAATGATAGTATAAATAAATCAAGTTACCTTTTCAAGCATCCCTCTTATTGTTTCTCTCAGGCTTTTAACTTCAGATTTCAGAGACTCGGACAACCTAATACGGTGTTCTATTTGCGTTCGTAGTTGAATTATAGCATCTTGAGGAGGTAGATCATGTAATTGACTAAGCTCTGCATGATCGGTCATGACCATCATTGTTGTAGCCATTTTATCGGCTTCATCGAAGGGATGGTGATGATTAGGAGCATGCGGAGTACTGGTAACTGGACTGTTGACAGGACGTTGAGTTGTCGCTGAAGCTAACCGTGATCGAGCGATAGCAGCTTCCTTCCGAACACGAATTAGTTCTTCTCTCAAATCATCACGAAGCCGATTACCCTCATTGATGATATTCTGATAGTGAGTTATTGTATCCTATCCAGAATGGTTAATATATAGTAAATTATGTTTATATACCCATTTACGATGCTTTAAAATTGATACATGATAGACGTGAATGATGATTGAGAAAAGCGTACATATGGTCCACAAATTCAGATCTTAGATAAACATACCTGACAAATCAAATTCGCTAATGTCTATTAATTAGTTCCCAAAAACCTCTGTTTCAGTGAAGGTAATCAGTCAACTTAAGCTAGAAGATATATCATTAAATGCAAAAGCTTTAAACAGTAAGGAAGGAAATTATCAATCGATAAGGTAGTGGTATGCAAAGACAATCCTAATGAACACCACTTAATAGTTAGATAATGTAAAATCATTTAACGTGATACAACATCTATACTTTGATATATCATCATATCTGAATATAGTTACATAATTACGATGAAACAAAAAGTGCTAACTATAAACCAAATTAAGCGCATCATTAAAAATTAAAGCTGTCAATATTAGGTCACTAAATACACAAATATCTGTTTTTTGAAAACAAAGAGATTCCTATTGTGAAAACCATCAATAATGTCTAGTCATCATAATCTTACTAATAAGTAGTCAGTAAAAACATTAAAGAAACTATTCGGATTTACAACTACCTTTATTTAATATAACTCAGCATACAAAAGGATAGGTTAACTTATTACTTTGTTTGAACGTATATACATTGGTACAAGGGAGCACCAAATACACAATAACAATGAAGTCAGTAGTAGTTATCATTTGTTTGTGTGAGGACTGTGATACTGCTCAGGTGCCCAAACCGAAACAGGCGGTTTCCTAAGGGGGCCACAACCGGAGCCTTTGACCCGAAAGTCTAGTACACAGGGTAGTGAGGCAACGCTGAGACGCAGTCCCATGGTAGCTGGTGACCAACAATAGATTTATACGCCTTTCATTCCCTCAGGATCCTGCAGCCCAAGCGCACCATCAGTTTGAAATCAAGGTTTTCCAACTCCCCTAAGTGGATCCACTATATCCACCAACCTGTTTAAAGCACCAGACATTCGCTTTTCGTCCTTTCAATTTCGTAGACAACACCCTCGTCGCGAGAAGGCGGTGAGTAGAACTTCCCTAGAGGTGACTGTATACGCGTGACCATGTGAGAGCAATTCGAGAGGGAGAGTGGATTCTCCCCACTCTCTACCGTACCAAGGCATTTGGGGGCGATGGGTTAACTTCTCTTATTAGTATCAAGTAAGCCGGTCTTTTGACATATTTTTGGAGAATAGATACAAGAGTATATATGTTATTACAAAAGTTAGTAATTTGTCTGATAATAAAAGCCTTGATACAATTCATTCTAATTATATATCCATAATAGTAAGAATCCCTCAACTGTTGCCCAACAATAAGCATTGTTACGAAAACTAATTGTTATTAACAAGACAATCACAGCAAAAATTATCTATTATATTTATCTCTAAACAACAATTGACAATTATGCCATTTTTACTACTATTAATATTGTTGGGTGACAAGATTCGAGGAGAGGAAACGGGGAAGGGATGAAAAACTTTATCAATGTAGGGGTGGGTAAGCATCATAAACTTAAACTAGCCATTTAAAAGTTATACTTAACTTCTGGCCAGTTCATAAGTGAACGGAACGTTTTATAACTTGGAAGTGACTACATTAATCGGCGAGACTAAACTACATGGACGACCTTTGAACGAATCTTAAATGACCTTGAGAAATATTAGCTAATCAGAAGACAGTTAGTGTACAGTAAAAATTTACTATACAAAACCAAAGAATTAAAGTGGATACACTTCTTTTACATGGGTCAAAAACTTCTCAAGGTCAGATATAGGTTCAGAAGTTCTAAAATCATAGTGCATACTGTACAGGAACACATCCATATGGCTCCATAGTAGTCGACCTCTGAAACCATGATAAAGTCTCAAAAATTCTATTAGCCTCGACCACACAGCTTCGATGCTGTTGGTACATTGGTATGGTTTAGGGTTTAAGGTTAGAGTTAAGGTTTAGGGTTAAGGATGGTACTATATATTATGGACGAACTTTGAGCGACGCTAGAGTAATTCTGAGAGTGCCAACATAATAACTAAGACTAAATGAGGGTTATAAACCTGTGTGAAGAATTCAAACTATGATTTACAGCTCATGGTTAAGGTTAGGAATTATACTTAGGGTTTTCATCACAAACTGACATCAGCTATAATGCCAAAACTCTATTTATACAAATGGGTAATTGAATTTCGCGCCGAAATCTTACGATCACTTCTCTTGTAGACATGTCTCTAAAATCCGTTGTAAACCGACCGTATGCAAGCATCAGGTACCGAACTAAGCGCCGTGACCTTAAAAATCCGCGAAAGCTTCTGATTGGCTCGTCCATATAGTTTAGTCTCGCCGCTTGTTTGCAAATAATCAACTACCTGAGTAAAATTACAAAACTAGAAGAATAAAAGTAGTAAATGTCTCATTGATACAGGGATTAAATGTGATTTGACTGTATTCTAACAATTCAAACATAGGCCTTTAGTGAGAAGAATAAACATTCAGAACGAAAACTGATAGTTAAGACAACACTACTGTCACCGGGGTTATCTACCCGCATAACAATGTACATACTTTGTGCATTTCCAAATCCCTTCGCAACTGTTCACACTCGAGTTTGTGGCGTAGTCCAGCTTGAAGCTGAGCACGCATACCAACAACCGAATTTCGGAGACGATCTAACTGACTCTCTGTTCTTTTGGCGTGCATCATCACCCAATCTCGTTCAACATAACTTGAATGTTGATTTATTTGATTGAGTAAAACTGGTTGCTGACCATTAGTTATATTATTATAGGGTAGGATACTAACGTCACCATTGGATTTAATATCTGTCTCGGGGTTTGTGGATGGAAGATCGCTTTGCCTTTGAATGAACCATGTTTTGAATATTAGCACTGCATCAAGAAGGTTTGAGCAATGGTTAGCAACACGACGGCAGCTTGCCTGCAAACAGAATAATGATTAAGCTAGAGATTAAAATATTTTTCTCATTTCACCACAAATAATCAAATCAGTAATTTACCACTTTTAAGAAGTTGGAAAATTTTTAACTCAAAACAAAAGTTGGAGCTAATAACTCCAGAAGAATTGTAGGCAATTCATGACTGATGACGAGTGAAAGAAACGTTTCAATCCCGAGAAAGTATCATGAAATTCGCAACTTTTCATTGTTTACAGGAAATGACTTATGCTATCATTCACTGATTCACCCGTAAAAGAATGTGTAAATCCTAAATCTTACTGTGACAGACTGATAAATACTAATCTATACAAATATACCACTACACGTTAGCTCTGAAGACTTAAAGAGATGGGCGTTTCACCAATCTTTGTAAACACAATAAACACACCAAGATGAACAAACTAAAAGATACCACTTCTATTTTTATATCAGCTTTTATATAGCTTTTTAATAATCACCAGTATAATAAATGTATCCGTTATTTCAAACCAAATGAAACCGAAGTAAAACAATTCACATGAGTTGAATTAAAACAAATATAATCGTCCGTGTGCAGATTTGAACTAATCCTTAGTGTCTAAGAACTGGTGATTTCGGAAATATCATGACATCTACAAACTAATGCGTTAATTGTTTTGCTATGTAGCTGCGCATATAAAACAGAACATAATTTCTACCGGGAGTTGTCAAACCTGACAGAAATAACGAGTGAAATCACTTGATAACTTCACCAATTGAGATTAAAGAGCACACATGAAATGATGTTGAGATGAGAAGCAACAATTTAAAATTGATGAAATTGCTGGCCTTACTTCAGCGAGTAGGTTATATTTCCTTTAGCACTACTTACTTTGCTGACTGTATTCACATGACGACTGAACTTAAGGTCAACCGAAATACAACTGGTTAGATATGACAGAGAAAATCATACAATATACATACCTAATTACTAATTATTTTATTATGGATTTATGGAGATAATACTATTAGATCTACGTTATATAGCAAACAAGAAACCGACCTGAGAACAAGCTTTCGAATTTTCGAGATCTGAACTTAAACACGCTCCCCCTTGGACACACCCTACTGATATCATCAGAGGCAAATTCTGTGGATTTACATGCACCAAAATTTCGAAACTTCCGCTGCAGTCGAAGTTTGAAAAGTCCGCCAACTGTCGCATCGGAATCAATTCTCAGTACACCTGTTACGAGCAAGCAAAGAAATAAGAAACCGTAAAACATCCTAGGTTAGTGGTGGTAATATATAAAAAATTGCATATAAAGATATAGTGCAGGAAGAAAGACAGATATGAAGAAATTTTAATCTCATAGTTTAAGGGAAGACAAAGAGTGTATACACCTACTACATTATGATCGATTCTGAGCCATTTCACCTAGAATCTTCAATCATTGGTAACGTTATCATGCAGACCCCAACCAAGTAGTCTACATCTACCAACATGGCTCAGATATGAGGTTAGTAACTTCAAACACTGATGCCACGTTTTAGTTAGGCCGCCCCCAACTCTCTTCCAACCATCCCCTATACCAGTTAGCATTGCGCGTAATAGTGATCAGTGTTCAGGCGTACATAAAATGTGCCCCAACCATCTCAGTCAATGAAGATTCACAATCTCATCAACTGGTTTACCATCATGATCAGAGATTCGTCAAGTACGAAGGAGTCATTAGATTTTGCAAGACCACGAAGTTCCTTCAAGCAAAGACATCCATGAGTTCTCTGACAACCAAGGCAACAATAAACATAAGGATGCATAAAATCCGAGCGATTTTGGAGGAAATGAGGTTACTTTGCATAGCTGTCAAGAGAAAAATATATAACCAGTTTCTAGCTGACGCAAGTAATTATCACTAGACATAATGCAAACTTAATAGGCTAACATTTATTGAAATATATTAGATTGCAATACGGTTAGGCAAGATCCATGTTATCCATCTTATTTATCCACGTTGGCTGTCCGTAAGTCTGATGGAATTCTGTAGACGACTCAACGCCTTACGAGTTACCGATGAAATTATCTTCATAGAAAAATTGTCTCCAGTTCAATGAACGTTTGCAGATCGCAAAACAATATCTTAAGGTATTTTGTCTAAAGAGTTCTTCCTCGCTCATACTACTCAGTGGTGCGATCATGGTGTCAGTGATCAGAAGACAAAATAGCACATCATCATAAGATTTATAGCTCGGGACAATTTATTTTTAAAGTTGAACTTAATCCATGAAGACTTAGTAAATTCATCTTGTCATTTGTATATATGGATACTATATAAAATTTCATAATTTATATGAATGTTCTTGATAGATCTTGCTATTTTCAAGGCTATAGCAAGTGATTAATCCAATGTACAATATAACTATGTGTTACATTACTACAAAAATCTTGTTATTACTTGTCAATATAATTTATTTACATGAAATTTGTTCACACTTCATATAGTCACATGTTAAGTGACGTTATTTGGTTCTGAGTTGTAGCAAACCATGTTTGTTGTAACAAATAAAAACTATGCTAAAGGAAACTTGTGGTGTTTGGATGAACTAATGATTCATTTGCACTTGATGACTGCTTGAATTCGAAATCTAAATACAATACGTCCGGCACAGTTGAAAAGTCATGCCACGGGTTCTCGCTCACATATTACATGTTGTCGAGGATTTTGAATGTCGTTATTTATCAGCTATTAACAGCACTTTTCCTTCACACATCAATTTCCGTAGTCTTTGTGCTCGTTACATGGTTTATTCCAGTCTATTAGTAGGTTGACGTGTTTGTTGCTCATGACCTGGGTGAATGTTTAGTAAGCCTAATTTGGTTATTTGTAACAATGCAAACTCAGGCAGGTGAAATTCACCATTTTTCAGGTCAAAAATAGACCGCGATCAGAGTTTCACGCAAAAGTGAGCTCGAAAATCATTTACATATGACTCACACCCCTAATTATGGTAGTGATGAACATTGGTGTTGATAGTTGTTGATAAAATGTAGGTTAAAGCAATTGGGCGTTAAAATATTGATGAATATTATATGTTTTGCCAATATACAGCTGTGAACTCTTCTATCCTTTATCAGTATCATCATTTTCGACTGAACTGACATTGTTATGTAAGATATCTGTCAAAGAAAAATTCCATGAGTAACAATCGACGTTGATAGCCTTTTCTTACCGCTTTCTAAACATATACAGGAATCGTGTATAACATCACTGCAAGTGCCACATAAATTAGCCAAATATTCTTCATAAGTAAAGCGGTGTGTGTTTGTTTTGAGCATGGTAAATAAAACTTGTCGTAGTTAATACTAGTTTATGATGTGTCTGTTACAGGGTTAACAAATGAATTTCTGTTAACAGAATCCGAAATCACTGACCAAATCATAAAATTTTAATGCATGTTGATGAGTAATATCTAAATAATGCTTACCAGTCATTTCATTATTGTTAGTAAACGGTGAATTGCCAATAGTATTATGAACGTTGTAATTTGATTTTCTCAGATTTCATAGTACTTATTTCAGATTTTGAATCCATTTATTTGGTGCCTTCAGTTTGTTTATCAACTCTAAATAACTAGATGAAATTCTAGGGGGGTTAGCAAATGAAGAGCACTATTTACAACATGTAAGACACCTAATGGTACATCCTGTTAGCTACATTTTCATTGACTTATTGAATTTGATGCTGATAATGAAGTTAATTGTATGTTACACGATTGGTCACGTCACCACACTTTGTTGTATTTCGATCCGTATTTTTCTATCGTAAAGAATACTACATAAAAACTAGCGTTAGGGAAATTACATTCCTACCTACTTATTGATGATTCTTAAATAGAAAGTGGCTTCGTTGAATCTGTACATATTGTTCGCTTCGTCTGGGTCTTGAAATTGTTGTATTTATGGAGGGTGTGAGCGTTATCTATATCCCATCGACTGCAATGTCTGAGAATATGATAAGCCATATAGTTTATATTTCGCAGTTGATCGAGCTTACGTGTAAGAGTTCGTCTTCTTGTGTTTACCAGCAACATATGATGGCGAGGACACCGGCATGTCATAGTTTATCCATGGTCCAAGTTACGTCTTCATGCAATTGTTTTGGCTTCCAGAAAAACAGAACAGGACGCCCTCGACCAAAATTTAGCAAAACCGGACAACAATTTTTCAAAAATGGAGAGATTGGGAAGTTACGAAGCGACAATCAATCCAACGTGTACACTACAAAATAGAGAGGGCTAAACCTATGTTCTTCGCAATGACTTTGTGGTTAAGCTGCAGCAAAAGACCACTTACATATGGGAAAACCTGATATTCGTGCAAACCGACGAACCCTCAGCAATTGAAATGAGGGATAGCTGCCTCTTGTCAGGCCATCCAAGGTTTTGAAAGGATCTGACTTTTTCACCGTGTCATACATGAGTTCGTGTTTTCTAATACTTCTTAATTAAATCGCGTTGTTTCTGGGATTGCTTTTTTATTCTATTATTAAAATGCTCTTATATATCACAGAAACACACATGAATTATGCAAGTGAAACTTACCACAGGATAAAACTTTACCATGTCTGTGCTCACCTCCGTAACCCGCTTTGCAGTTCTTTGTTGAATCACTCTTCATTTTCCACAGGAAATAGAAGCATTATCAAACAAACGAGGACTTCAGTGACCCTCAGAGTTTAGTTCATTTTGACGACTGAGCAAAATATTAAAAGCTTTCAGTGGCTGAAAATCAAGTTCATTCATTTCATCACAGTAAACACATGAGTTTTTCCGGGGTGAACTTCAGCATCAATCCTCTTCCTAAATTCTGAATATTTATGTCAGATATCAACCGATTAAGCAGCTGAAATAAAGCTGATCATCCTGACGTACAACTGTAAATCCTAATCCTGCACACTTGTTTCTTACCAGTCAGTGTAGCGTCACTCCGAGGTCGACCATAAATCATAGTCTTACCATTGTTGTCAACATTTTTGTCCAATAAATTTATGCATAATGACCTCACTTAGAGTTCTTACGGAGGTCTTTGATAAAATGTGAAAAATCAAATATCAAATACGTCGTTTGCAAATATTTCATCAACTGTCCTTTACGTTCTTCACGATTATTCCACATCGCAGTTGCTTTATGATTCCCCCTCTGTTTCCTTCGATTTATTCTTCCCAACCTTATTTTGCTAGGCCTTCCACTTCTGACCGGTGTTACATACTACTTATATCCGTCACCCGACCGTAGCTGCAACCTTGTCGTGGTGGTCGGGCTTTCCTATCGTGATAGCCCAACCGAGCTACATTGGTCGGAACATATGTCCCTGTAGTTACGACCACGAAAGGCAGGTCGATTGGAGAACACTAAGACTAAAAGCAGCATCTCAAGGTCTGAGGGCGAAGTCATACTTCTGACTGTAGAGGGGTGTAACAGCAGTTAGGTGTTTCCCTCGGACAACCAGCATCTGCAGCGATGCCGCCTTCTCAAAATGAAGGAAGGGGTTAGAAAAGGTCAACCATAAAAATGTCATACCTCACCTTACCTTCTAAAGAGGTAAGGCTCTTTGAAGAACAGAGCTAACACGTTAAAGACTTCCCACCGTGTGTGACCTGCCTCAAGTAGTTATCCCTTGGGCACTGCGGTCACTCTCCGAGGTCGTTAAGACCAACACTAATACAACTTCTTTTTCAGGTCCCTCAAGAAATACCCTTCCACCGTGTGGGCATCTGGGAATTGACATCAGCCCTCATACTCGCAACAACACACGAGAACAAGTTGGTCACATTCATATCCTTCCTACACCTCCTAATAACCCTCTTATCTCCACGACTGACCCTTCTTACGTCCTTTTATCACCTCACATGCTAATGCAAACGATTCGAATACGCGGAACCTTATTCCTGGTCTCCTGAAACCACGCTGTAAAATAACATATACGAGCTTTTAACGTTCGAATACTATGCCAAATAAAACAATAGGCTTCTTTAGCTAGGACCTTAGAATCTCGCACCATCGATATGTGCTGCATCTCCGAAACGCCCATACAGGATCCGAGTAGTGTCATCCATTCGATCTCACCATATCAAAAAATAGAACCAACTCGATTCACGCTTCGTGTATCTAGAAGCCCCGATGCTCCCAATACCTGCAGCTCAGACGATGAGTTTTACAGAAAGATTTCCGACCTTCTCCGAAAAGCTAGGCGTTCTGATGTAGTAATAATGGCTGGTTACTTTGATGCTCGAGTAGGTAAACTAAGCGAAAGGTAAAGACCCATGGGTGAATCTTGTGGTGTGGTGGCTCAGAGAACAGATAGTGGAGACCGCCTGTTGTAGCTATGCTCAGATAACCGCCTGTTTCTAGCAAATACTAACTTTAAGCATAAGGAAAAACATCTTTTGACACGGAAACCCCCGAATTCGTCCCAACATTGGACCCAGCTAAATCACATCGCTATCAGCCACCAATGAAGGGGCTCGATAGGAGACTGTCGTCCATTCTGGAGCACATACCCAGATCATGCTCTAGCGCGAACATGAATCTGCCTGCGTCTTACTGAACGAAATCTCGGCACGGATACAGAAAGCTCGTCTAGCTTTTGCCAACTAGTATCATTTATGGCATAGGCGAGATTATCCAAAGGACGGGTTTACTGCGCAGCAGTTCATTCCATCCTACATTATGCCTGTGAAACATGGCGGCTAAGAGAAGAGAATATTCATAGGCTACTGGTATTCGATCATAGGTGTCTTCGAAGCATTGCTCGTATATCTTGGAACCACAGAGTGAGTAATGCAGTTGTTAGGAAATGGGTACTGGGTAAGGATGGCAAATCGAGTGATGAAGTAATGAAACTTTACCAGTTGAGATGACTGGGACATGTGTTACGTATGCCCAACCACCGACTACCACGAAGTGCAATGTTTTATAGTGTAGGAGTAGGTTGGAAGAAAGCTAGGGGCGGCCAGACCAAAACATGGCATAAATCCATGAAGTCGCTGACAAGTGGATTGAACCATACTGGTAGGTGTAGACTACCTGGTCGGGATTCGCGAGATGATAGCAATCGCTTGTTAGAGACCTTGAATGAGTCGAAGTCGTTTGCACTGGCGAAGGTGCATCCGCTCTTTGTGTTCTCCCAAATTCTTCATGGCTCTATCTTTTTTCTCTTTATAAATTTAGTTCACTGGATTAGACTCCTTGAATAACACCCTCAATCCATAATCTTTCGGATTACTGCTTATACTCTTACTGCCTCTACCACTATGGTATTCAAATCGACAACTGCATCTCTGCGCTAATGTGGTATGACAACTCGAACTGATGTACGTAGTACGAAGTTATACATTGTGACTAACTGACTTTTATCTGTCAACATAAGTAACATGCACCACAACACCAATAGTGAATGTGATATCTATTTTTTGTGTACATAAATCCTTAGCTTTCCTATATATTGTTCGCTACAAAGTACATAATGACATTATAAAAACGCTCCAAATATTTAAACTATTGATAATGAAAAAAAGTTGAAATGAAATCTTAATTAGACAGTCAGTAAAATACTATATGGTAATCTGCACAGAGAAATTTAAGGATTCTGAATATCACAAAACATTGGAATGAATGCTTCATAATGTAATAAATTATACAGTTACAAATTTATTTTTGTGTTTATGAAACATGATTTAAGAAAAAAAACAGGACATATGCTTCCAAATCATTTTCAATATATTTCAGAAGGGATATTTACATAATCAACACGAACCTATACAAATAATTTAGTGTCACAAAAAAAACTGGTGAATAATGTATAAGTATTTCAAATAAGGACTGAATAATAATAATATGGACGTAGTTAAGTCACCGTTAGACATTTGTTTTGTGATTATATTAAGTTTATAATATTGTTACTAAGAAAATCTTATTCTAGTCAGCTTGGCAAATGGAAGACTTTTTACAAGTTACTTTTGCATCAACAAAACATTATTGACTACAACTTTTAAACATTATTGTTACAATCCACTCATCTACTGGTCAATTTAAAGTGAGCGCTGTTTACCATTTGAAATCAATATTTTATAAATAAAAAGGATCTTTCAAGAATCTGTGTAGTTATTATGTAGTTGAGTTACAATCTTATCAACATGATTGTTGATAACTTACTATTTGGTAAACGTTGATCAACTGCAGATAAATTCATTAATTGAACACAACGACACTTTACTTGAATGTTATTCTAGTAGAATTTATCTATTGGTATGTGGTATCTTATAATAGTGAGTTTATGTTAAAAATCAATCAACTTATTTTACTAGGACATTCGAACTAATGTTTTATATTCAGATTATCAGAAACTACAGCAATCAATTTAAGGTGAGATAAAATTTCGATAAGTATTAACGGTAAAAACGACTCATCGTAACTGAAGCTTATAAAGTGTATATATTTGTCTTATTTTCATATTATAAGACAAGAAATACATTTAAACTAATTGGCTTCAAAGGACATACGCAAATGTGTGTAGTAGCTTATCGAATATATTATTTTGATATGAAATAGTGTTGTGTTAGGAAAATAAGCGTATAGTTGATTGGGTTCAAAAAGGTTACTAGCATGCAATGAGTATTAGTAAGAAGCTCAACAGATAGTTCAAGTAAAGGCGAATGGACTTTCCATTAGTAAAAGGTAGATATAATCAAACAAAAATCTAAATGGAATGAGCTACTGAAATCATATAGATGGAAAGCAGTTACGGTATTTTTTCATGTGAATCAATCAGTCAACAGAAGTTTATATACAGAAAGACATTTATACCTGTGGAATGCTTAGAACGTACCTGTACAGACACGCTGGATTTACGCAAAGTGTAGTAAAATGTTTGGTAATTATAGTACGAATGACTGCATTTTGAAGAAGTGAAAATGATGGACTTAAAGTGCCTTTGTTGAATGTATCTAACATCTAAACGAAATCATTTATTTTATATTTAAACCTACTGAACATTACTGGAAGCTACTCCAAAGGATAACTGTAATAACAAACTGAAACGACAAACCATTTTAAACGTCTTTATTTATCCGTACTTATTCTAAACTAAATATCTCATGAATACAACTTAAAAATGCAAACATGCCTATTTAATTGAATCTATTAGGATTCTTGTAATGTAGACTGCCAACCACAGATCTACAAGTAACTATATCTGTTCTCAGGTGCTATTTATAGTCTTGAAGTCTAACAAAAAAATTTGTAAAAATTGATGATTTTTGAAGACTACTAATTTAGAACGAATACTTGTGGTTGAGAAATAATGTAAAATCAACTTGTTGATAATAAAAAATGGTACACTAAATCCATATAATTTCAAGTTGAAAATTCCAATTTAAACGTATCACTTGATGCTTTTCGTAAGCATTCTCCAGATGAATGCTATTGGAAAGTCCGATTAAAAAAAGCTATTAAAAGTAAGAATGGAGCAGTCCGTGCTAACATGAGCTTGTTCAAAATATACATCTGATAAATAAAAATAAACAAAAATGTTCCACAGAAATAATTTGAGTATTGCATCGTGAATCTGAAAAAGAGGGGAAAGGAACAAACAGTCACATATGGCCAGAAAAGTTGAACATTTAACACGAAAGAATCAGATATGAAATAAGCCGGACAATAATTCTAACCATGAAATTATTTTATTAGATAAACAGCATTTCAGTCACCATTCAGAGAATGACAAAACCAAACCATATGAGTATGACACAAAAATAAACAAGGAAAATATTATGAACGATAAGAAAAATCTGGATCACAACACAATGAAAACAATTATATGAAGCGAAATGCAGCAAAAAAGCAGACAATAAAAAGTATAGGACGAACAAAACTAAAACAATATTAACTATGACATTTAATATTATTGAAAACATGGTACAACAAAAAGTACCGAAATTCAAAAAAAAACAGTGCAGTATAATAGGAAAAAGAAACATAAAACCTGAAACGAGGGAAAGTGCTAAATGTCATCATAGAGTAACAAACAGAAAATTACAGTCACAACTGACACATTTCTTCTTCAACTCAGCAAAATAACTCATCATACACTCTCTATCAACAGTCTTCACAACACCCACAACCACACTCTCCAACATAACACAACACAATCTTCAAACGAACAAACCAGTACCTACGAATACTATACACAACAGGAAGAAATCTCATCCACATAACTCACAAACCAAACACCAACCGACTGCTCAACACATACATACACTCTCTCAACGAAAAATTCCACACACAACTCACACCACAATTATTTTGCCACATTCATCTCTCAATCATGATACAAAAATATATATATATACACGCATACACAAGCTATCGCATGCTCATACGAACACCACTGCTCTCTAAATCCCACAAGGAACGACGATCTAGACGATCATAAACGAAACAACACATCACAACACCCTCACCAAATCCGTTCACAAACTGACTCATCAACCACACTCAGACATCGAAATGCCCTACCACACAACACATCAGACCACTCATCATCATAGCAAACATCGTCTGCAATAAACATTCAAACGTCAGATGTCTGTCTATCTACCTGGCTGTACGTCCGTGCGTGTGCGCACCCTTTCACAGAGGCAGACACAACAACACAGATGAACATTCATCTCGCAAGGTCATTAGTATTCCATGGAACAACAACCAGGAATGTGGAGCTCTTGCACTACAATCAACTCGACTAACAGACAAATCCAAACACTCAACCACACACACATGCCACACCGCATCAAACTGACAACTCATAATCACCAACACCCAATAACACAAAACAACACAACATTCACAACTGCCATCCACATCCCCCACACACCTCATCAACATAAACCATAGTCAGTACAACCAAATAAATCTATTACACAACAAACACATCGTACTCCTTCACTAACAACATGTCGCAAATATACACTTTCACGAGATGCAACAGAAACAACACCAAACACAGCTTCAAACCACCTCGTCACCATACACAAACAATCAACTCCTCAATTCATTACATTCACACGCCCTTCTCTACTATCACAGACAAATACCCATCACAACTGACACATTTCTTCTTCAACTCAGCAAAATAACTCATCATACACTCTCTATCAACAGTCTTCACAACACCCACAACCACACTCTCCAACATAACACAACACAATCTTCAAACGAACAAACCAGTACCTACGAATACTATACACAACAGGAAGAAATCTCATCCACATAACTCACAAACCAAACACCAACCGACTGCTCAACACATACATACACTCTCTCAACGAAAAATTCCACACACAACTCACACCACAATTATTTTGCCACATTCATCTCTCAATCATGATACAAAAATATATATATATACACGCATACACAAGCTATCGCATGCTCATACGAACACCACTGCTCTCTAAATCCCACAAGGAACGACGATCTAGACGATCATAAACGAAACAACACATCACAACACCCTCACCAAATCCGTTCACAAACTGACTCATCAACCACACTCAGACATCGAAATGCCCTACCACACAACACATCAGACCACTCATCATCATAGCAAACATCGTCTGCAATAAACATTCAAACGTCAGATGTCTGTCTATCTACCTGGCTGTACGTCTGTGCGTGTGCGCACCCTTTCACAAAGGCAGACACAACAACACAGATGGACATTCATCTCGCAAGGTCATTAGTATTCCATGGAACAACAACCAGGAATGTGGAGCTCTTGCACTACAATCAACTCGACTAGCAGACAAATCCAAACACTCAACCACACACATGCCACACCGCATCAAACTGACAACTCATAATCACCAACACCCAATAACACAAAACAACACAACATTCTCAACTGCCATCCACATCTCCCACACATCTCATCTACCTGGATGTACGTCTGTGCGTGTGCGCACCCTTTCACAGAGGCAGACACAACAACACAGATGAACATTCATCTCGCAAGGTCATTAGTATTCCATGGAACAACAACCAGGAATGTGGAGCTCTTGCACTACAATCAACTCGACTAACAGACAAATCCAAACACTCAACCACACACACATGCCACACCGCATCAAACTGACAACTCATAATCACCAACACCCAATAACACAAAACAACACAACATTCACAACTGCCATCCACATCCCCCACACACCTCATCAACATAAACCATAGTCAGTACAACCAAATAAATCTATTACACAACAAACACATCGTACTCCTTCACTAACAACATGTCGCAAATATACACTTTCACGAGATGCAACAGAAACAACACCAAACACAGCTTCAAACCACCTCGTCACCATACACAAACAATCAACTCCTCAATTCATTACATTCACACGCCCTTCTCTACTATCACAGACAAATACCCATCACAACTGACACATTTCTTCTTCAACTCAGCAAAATAACTCATCATACACTCTCTATCAACAGTCTTCACAACACCCACAACCACACTCTCCAACATAACACAACACAATCTTCAAACGAACAAACCAGTACCTACGAATACTATACACAACAGGAAGAAATCTCATCCACATAACTCACAAACCAAACACCAACCGACTGCTCAACACATACATACACTCTCTCAACGAAAAATTCCACACACAACTCACACCACAATTATTTTGCCACATTCATCTCTCAATCATGATACAAAAATATATATATATACACGCATACACAAGCTATCGCATGCTCATACGAACACCACTGCTCTCTAAATCCCACAAGGAACGACGATCTAGACGATCATAAACGAAACAACACATCACAACACCCTCACCAAATCCGTTCACAAACTGACTCATCAACCACACTCAGACATCGAAATGCCCTACCACACAACACATCAGACCACTCATCATCATAGCAAACATCGTCTGCAATAAACATTCAAACGTCAGATGTCTGTCTATCTACCTGGCTGTACGTCCGTGCGTGTGCGCACCCTTTCACAGAGGCAGACACAACAACACAGATGAACATTCATCTCGCAAGGTCATTAGTATTCCATGGAACAACAACCAGGAATGTGGAGCTCTTGCACTACAATCAACTCGACTAACAGACAAATCCAAACACTCAACCACACACACATGCCACACCGCATCAAACTGACAACTCATAATCACCAACACCCAATAACACAAAACAACACAACATTCACAACTGCCATCCACATCCCCCACACACCTCATCAACATAAACCATAGTCAGTACAACCAAATAAATCTATTACACAACAAACACATCGTACTCCTTCACTAACAACATGTCGCAAATATACACTTTCACGAGATGCAACAGAAACAACACCAAACACAGCTTCAAACCACCTCGTCACCATACACAAACAATCAACTCCTCAATTCATTACATTCACACGCCCTTCTCTACTATTACAGACAAATACCCATCACAACTGACACATTTCTTCTTCAACTCAGCAAAATAACTCATCATACACTCTCTATCAACAGTCTTCACAACACCCACAACCACACTCTCCAACATAACACAACACAATCTTCAAACGAACAAACCAGTACCTACGAATACTATACACAACAGGAAGAAATCTCATCCACATAACTCACAAACCAAACACCAACCGACTGCTCAACACATACATACACTCTCTCAACGAAAAATTCCACACACAACTCACACCACAATTATTTTGCCACATTCATCTCTCAATCATGATACAAAAATATATATATATACACGCATACACAAGCTATCGCATGCTCATACGAACACCACTGCTCTCTAAATCCCACAAGGAACGACGATCTAGACGATCATAAACGAAACAACACATCACAACACCCTCACCAAATCCGTTCACAAACTGACTCATCAACCACACTCAGACATCGAAATGCCCTACCACACAACACATCAGACCACTCATCATCATAGCAAACATCGTCTGCAATAAACATTCAAACGTCAGATGTCTGTCTATCTACCTGGCTGTACGTCCGTGCGTGTGCGCACCCTTTCACAGAGGCAGACACAACAACACAGATGAACATTCATCTCGCAAGGTCATTAGTATTCCATGGAACAACAACCAGGAATGTGGAGCTCTCTCACTACAATCAACTCGACTAACAGACAAATCCAAACACTCAACCACACACACATGCCACACCGCATCAAACTGACAACTCATAATCACCAACACCCAATAACACAAAACAACACAACATTCACAACTGCCATCCACATCCCCCACACACCTCATCAACATAAACCATAGTCAGTACAACCAAATAAATCTATTACACAACAAACACATCGTACTCCTTCACTAACAACATGTCGCAAATATACACTTTCACGAGATGCAACAGAAACAACACCAAACACAGCTTCAAACCACCTCGTCACCATACACAAACAATCAACTCCTCAATTCATTACATTCACACGCCCTTCTCTACTATCACAGACAAATACCCATCACAACTGACACATTTCTTCTTCAAC